TGGTTCTCAAAAAAAAAAAAAAAAGAGTGGCCATTGCCTTCATAAGTGTTGAGAGCTTTAGAGTGCATGGATTGGCGAAGTCAGGCCGTGCCGACTACACTTCACTTTCTGAAATTTTTTTTGAAATTTCCGCTGAATAGAAGCCCCTTAAAACAAAAATAAGCTAAGAATTGAGGGAACTGGCTAGCGCCGTGCTGGGATGCCTGGTCACTATTTTTTTCCGGCCATTTTTCATGGATGTAGAGGAGAGTGTAAGCAAAGATCATGGCTTATCTTTGTTGTCCACTCCCTTCCCCACAGGGTCTAATCCTGACTCTTCTATGGATGATACCAGCTCAGTGTAAACCTAACGATATCAAACCACTCCTTTGTTGTTTTTTTGTTTTCTTAACTGCCCATAGCCCTCTTAAGATCAGGACTTTTTAAAAAACTTTGATAGCTTCCCTCTACTCTAGGGGTAAAAACCCTAATTCATAATAGAGCTGTTTACTTTAAAAAGGCCCTATTTCTTTAGCCTCAATTCAGTTCACCTCCTCTTCATATTCTGCACTTGGCCTTTTTTCTGTTCCTCAAATGAGTCATACTCAATCCTACCACGGACCCTTAGCACTTGTCCCTACTGCCTGCTATACTCCTCCCCTCACCCTTCAACCACTTTTCATCTCATTACTTCTACTCTTTTTTCAGATCTCAGCTCAATCTTTACTTCCTCTAGGAAGGCCCCACCGACCAGCCACTACACCAAGCTAAACAATTCTCCACATATATACTCTCATAATCTGTCATATACCTCCTCTTCATAAGACTTAGCAAAAATACAGTATTAAAATTTCGGTTTTGTTCATCACTGCATTCCCAGCACTTAGCACAGGGCCTGGCCTAGAACAAGTGACCAGTAAATATTTATTGAATAAACAAGTAAGTGAATTATGATTCATTGACAAGTAGGCCCCCCTTGAGATCTTCCCACTGCTGCCAAAAGACCTCACTAACATTAAACTATTAGACATCAAAAGTCCCAGTCCTCCCTCACCAGTCATCGCCTACGTTGAAGGCATTAAGACTCTTGGTGAAGCCTTGCATATTGGTGGGGCTGACTCTCTGCAGGAAGTCAATGTAGTCCTCGGAGTGGAAGCGGCACATGTCATGCTGGGAGGCCTGGTATGGCTTGAAGACCTCGGGATGGAGACACAAGATGAACCTAGCCAGGGTCAGCCCCACTCCACAGGCTCAGACCACCCATACTGAACCCAGCCCTGGAGACTATATGAAGCCAAATATAGCATTCCCCTCATCCCACAATCCTTAAGTCAATAGAGAGACTCCGATTAACCAGGTGAGTTATTACGAATGAGCCCCCTGAAGACCATTTCTTTTCCTTTCCACCTCCAGCTCAGCCTATTGTACCTTCTCAACTTTGAGCCCTGATCCACCTGCCCTGTTCCTTGGATCTCCTATTCCCAGTTCTCTCCACGCTCATCTCCTCCCCCAAGCTCTGATTCTGTCCTCTTTCCTCCGGATTCTTCTTTCTGGAGTCAAATACATGGCATATATGTGAACTTTCTAATTAAAATCAAAAGTTTACTATCTTTGGAAGGTCAGGGGGATGTGTCACACCTCTTTGAAAACTGGACAAGAAAGAGCTTTCTTCTCCCAGAAAATGCACACAGGTACATATAGGCAAACAATCTCAAGGGATAAAGATTCCTGCACTAACATCACCTCAGTCTTTTCTATGACCAATCTATTTGTCTGTGCCTGGGCACAAGCAATGAACATTCATTCATATTGTTCACTAGCTTTCCTAGCAACACATAAAGCCTGGGCTTAGCTGTTTTGTCTTATTTTTTCTTTTGAGACAAGGTCCTCCCTGTCAACTCAGGCTGCTGATCATAGCTCACTGTAACTTCAAACTCCTGGGCCCAAGCCATCCTCTCACCTCAGCCTCCCAAGTAGTTGGGACTACAGGCACACCCACCACACATCGCTACTTTTTTTATTTTTTATTTTTGTAGAGATGTGGGTCCCACTGTGGCCCAAGCTGGTCTCCAACTCCTGGCCTCAAGCGATCCTCCCATTTCAGCCTCCCAAAGTGCTGGGATTACAGGCATGGGCCACTACACCTGGCCTGGCTTAACTGTTACTATCCCATATCACAGCCATAAATTCCAAGCTGGGAAGACAGCATGTGTATGTCTGGGAGATGAAAAACCGGATAGCGATTAAGTAGAACCATGTAGAAGTATTCCGGGCTGAAAAAGGAATACCTAAGATATCTCCTCTCTTCCACACGCACATACACATTTACAAACACGGTAGTATCGTCCCACCCTGGAGCCCCAGCTCCTTGGAGATAAAAAAAAGGTGGCAAAAGAGGAGTGGGAACTGAGGGTAAACCTTACACCCTGATACAGTGATATCCGCTCCCCTAAACCTAATTCGTGAGGCCAAGGCCCTATCCACACTCTAAAATGCAGAGGAGGAACACTCCTTCTGTCTTCAAACCAGCCCCCACATCACCTTAACCCTAGGCCAAGGGCTAGGGTGCCTACAGTCAGAGGGTGGCCGACCTGAGCTGAGAAAGTACTTTCCATTAAGCAGAGAACGCCACCTCCAACACCCGGCACTTTCAAGATACTCCGGTGTCTTCTATCCAGCTCCCCGCTACTCTAGGGGCTGGTCGCACTTGATGCACTCAGTCCAGCCCACCTATCCCTTCCGCCACAGCTCGCTCCCCCGCCAACCCCCGGCCGAGGCGGCGAAACTCACGATCATCTTCTTATAGAGACCGTAATGCAGGACCAGGCTATGGGTCAATGCCAAGCGATGGGGCTTCATAGGGTGTCCAGCTCCTGGGGGTGGGGAGAAAAGAGTTCGTCAGCTCTCACCCCTGGAGTTGCAACCCCCGCCTCAAAACCTCCGCGTCCCAACCCTCATGCATAGCCCTGTTTCCTCACCGTAGTGGAAGTTGCCCACGTCGGGGTCGTAGAAATAGGCCACGGTCTTGGCCATGGTGCCGGCGGGAGCAGGCCCCGCGCCTCCGCCGCCCGCCGCCCGCCACCCTCCGCCAACCCCGCCCCAGCCGTGCGTGCTGCGCAAGCACGTAGCCTGCCTCTGCGGAACTGGGCGTTGCGGTCCCGCCTCCAGCCACACCCAGGCCACGCCCCCGGGGGAGCTCCGCCCCTCGCCTGGCTCCGCTCTCCCGGGAGCTGCGGCTTTGAGCGTCCCGGGTTGGGCGGGGAACTGGTAGCATCGCTCCTAGGATGCGAGGGCCATTTCTCTCCGGCCGGGGGTCAGATCCTCGGGAAGCTGAGCCATCCCATCCAGCCGCTTGCCCCAAACCGGGCGCAGGCCGTGGTCACTTCTCTAGGAAGCTCCGAAGATCCCGCCACTCCGTCCCTCAAAGGTGCGGAAAGCCGGCTTCCCCCAGCCCTCGGGGAAGATTCCTGACTTTCCGCTTGGTCGGGGCATCTGAGGGCAGGAGCTGCGCCAGGCGTAGCGGATAGACCAGTGGACAACACCCACGCCGGACCTCCTGTCCCCTACCCGGACCTAGACTCGGCGCCACACATTGCCCCGGGGGGGCCAGGCGCAGTCACGCGCGCGCACAGCTCACGCTCTCCGCCCCGCACACCTGCGCTCCGCCTCCTGGTCCTGGGCCCGAGACGGGCGAAGGCATTTGGGAAGCCAGGGCGGCTGCGGAGGCGATCTCCCTGACCCAGGGCCGAAGTTGCCCGGAGCCTGCCGCCGCTCTCAGTCAGCCCGCATCCTTCTCTGTCCTTCCCTCCCCCCGCCTGCCACGGCGCGGGTATCCGCAGCCACAGCCCGGGGCCGGTGAGGCGGCGAAGGGGGAGGGGAGGAATCAAGGGATGAGCGCCGGAAGGGCGTCGGGGGCCCCGAGCCGCACTAGGACGCCCCTGGAGCCGGAACCTGAGCAGAAGCCGGAACCAGAACCAAACCACCGGTACCGGGTGGGCCAGGTGGTCAGGGTGGGAGAAACCAAAAAGGGAGAGGGGTGCGGGAGTACTGAGAGGAGGGGGCTGCAGAGGCCTGGCTCAGGCCGGCGCGGAGGAGGTGCGGGCGCTGACTCAGGCACGATTTCTGCTCCCGCCGCCTAAGAATTCCGTCCCATCTCGTGCTGCAGTGTCCTTGGGAGGGACGGAAGCGCGAACGAGCTGGAAAGGGGAACGCTCGGGGCGTCGGGGAAGCGGCACCAGGGTCGTGGTAGAGAGCTTGCGTAGCCGCTGACCTCTTGCCTTGGGCCGTATTGACGAAACAGCACCCCTGGCCCGGACAGCTCCCTGGTTGGGTAGAGGGTGGAGCCGGACCTTAGCCGAACGTCTTAGACGTGCTTGTTTCAGATCCTGAGGACTGCATTCCTACCCCTCCCCCATTCCCAGCTGCAGCCCCCTAAACCCAGGAGGCGCCCTGGCCCGCGCTCGCCCCCCAGGGCCTCATGTCGGAACCACAGCCTGACCTGGAACCGCCCCAACATGGGCTGTATATGCTCTTCCTGCTTGTGCTGGTCTTCTTCCTCATGGGCCTGGTAGGTTTCATGATCTGCCACGTGCTCAAGAAGAAGGGCTACCGCTGCCGCACGTCGAGGGGCTCCGAGCCTGACGATGCCCAGCTTCAGCCCCGTGAGTGGAGCCTGGAACCCTGGCTCAGTAACCTTTCATCCTTCTCCCCACACCTCTGCCCCTCACCTCTGCCTCCCTGACCAACAGACCCAGGCCAAATCCTGATCAAGCCTGCTCAGGAAGCTTGGTGATGCACTCTTGAGTTAGCAAGTGGGGTGACACCACTCTGAAAGCAAAACTAGAGAAGGCAGCATGGGCAGCAAGGGTCCTCTGGATGGTAGTCTTGGGCTTGCATTGGTGTCCCCATCTTTTCTGGTCCCTGAAATGCTGAGGTCCAGCATGATAGCAAGTAGGTAAAAGGGTATGTCCTAAGCAATAAATGATGGGAGCCACCAGGTAATGTTCCCCCAAAGCTGACTCATTCCTGCTTCCTTGCCAATCTCTTTCATCCTTCAGCTGAGGACGATGACATGAATGAGGACACAGTAGAGAGGATTGTTCGCTGCATCATCCAAAATGAAGGTGGGTCTAGCATAGCCCCTTGCTCCCTCCTTCTCCAACCTTCTCTTGCCCTGACCTCCACCTTCACTGACTCCCTCTTTTCCTTCTTCCCTCAGCCAATGCTGAGGCCTTGAAGGAGATGCTGGGGGACAGTGAAGGAGAAGGGACAGTGCAGCTGTCCAGGTGAGCTGGAAACAAGGGCCAGCATGACTTAGCTTGCCTTGGAGAGTATCCTCTCCTCCAGCACAATCCTCTCCCAGTCTCCTTGCATGTATGGGGTTGGGGGAAGGGCAAAGCTGGCTAACTTATAGGAAGAAAGAAGTTTTGTAGAAATCTCGATTCCTTCAAAACATCTCTCTCATCTAGATGTCATCAAACCTAACATTTACCTCTAGTGCCACTCCTTTGGGTTAAGCAATGTTCTTTTTAGCAAACAGCCCTGGGAGGAAGAACATGTGGTCACTAACATCTTAATATTGAATTTATTAGATAAAGACAAGAAAAAATGTTGGGGCTTGGGGAAATTGGGGCTTCTGGGGTTTTAAGGAGCATGCTGAAAGAACATAAGAAACAAAACATGAAGGGAAATGGAAATGTTACCCTTGCTCCCCTCCTCCCTGCTGTCCAGTGTGGATGCCACCTCCAGCCTGCAGGATGGAGCCCCCTCCCATCATCACACAGTGCACCTGGGCTCTGCAGCCCCTTGCATCCATTGCAGCCGCAGCAAGAGGCCTCCACTTGTCCGTCAGGGACGCTCCAAGGAAGGAAAAAGCCGCCCCCGGACAGGGGAGACCACTGTGTTCTCTGTGGGCAGGTGGGGCAGGTGCTCCAGGGAAAGTGAGGTTGAGGTAGGGGGCCCAATGATCAGGCACCTGATCCCAAAAGTGGGCCTTGGCTCTTTCCTCCTGGACTGGGAGCTCCAGCGGAAGTCACGCTACACAATGTGCCCCACAGTCTGAGAAGGCCTCCCCTACCTTAGGCCAGAGGGAAGTAGCCACCAAACTCAAGATGTCCCTGGTCAGAGGGGAGGGCCAAGCAGCCTCTGAGTTGTGGTCCTAAACCCCAGTGTTCCCTTCCCTCCCAGGTTCCGGGTGACACACATTGAGAAGCGCTATGGACTGCATGAACACCGTGATGGCTCCCCCACGGACAGGAGCTGGGGCTCTGGTGGGGGACAGGACCCAGGGGGTGGTCAGGGGTCTGGGGGAGGGCAGCCCAAGGCAGGGATGCCTGCCATGGAGAGGCTGCCCCCTGAGAGGCCACAGCCCCAGGTCCTAGCCAGCCCCCCAGTACAGAATGGAGGACTCAGGAACAGCAGCCTAGCCCCTTGTGCACTTGAAGGGAACCCCAGAGCTTCTGCAGAGCCAACACTGAGGGACAGAGGGAGGGGCCCAAGCCCAGGGCTGCCCACTCAAGAGGCAAATGGGCAGCAAAGCAAACCGGACACTTCCGATCACCAGGTAGGAAAACACAGCCAGGACTGTACTGGGCTGGGCTCTTATTGCTCTCTACTCTTGGGGGGCACTGATATGACCTACTCCTGTTCTCTCGTTGACCCCTCCCCTTTCTCTCAGGTGTCTCTACCACGGGGAGCAGGGGGTATGTGAGGTGAGTCTGCCTGAACCCTAAATGAGGTAATCTCATCTTCCCATCACCTACTTAAACTACTTAAGCCTTTCAGCTCCCTGAACCCCCAGAGTATAAACTGCAGGCTTACTCTTTGCTATAAATCCCTTGGTTTGGTGGTGGAGGTAGGGAAGGTCCTGCAGCCCCAGGGGAAAAGCTGGATACAGCCTGAACAGGAAGCAATACTGTTACTCTTCCTCTTCTCCAAGTCTCCTTCTTCATTGTGCTGATGGACTACCAGCTGGCAGGGCCAGGGTGTGGGTGGGCGTGAAGGCCCTCCCCTCCACTGGACAGCACTGCCCCCCAGCTGAGGGACCAGCTCAACTTCCACCTGGAGTTACACGGTCTCAGGCTGGGGGCCTCAGGAGAGGTCATGGCCCCTCAGTCTCTTCTCCTTCCCCTGCCTGCAACAGGCTGCCTGACCCGCCTTCCCCAACACCTCGCTCCATATGATAGAGTGTGGCAGCTGGGAGCAGGCCCCTGCCCCTGGTGGGCCCCTAAAGCAATAGCACCATAGGCCCCCTGCCCTCTTAGCACAAGAGGCCCAGGCCCTGGCCTGGCCTTCGTGCCCTTTATTCATTGTCAATAAATCCGCTCAGACCATTACAGCTGCTTCGCATCCTGGCTCCAGCGCCTTCTGATTCCCAAGGCCTGTTCCTCTCCCCGGCCTAACCCCAGTGACCCTGGCATCCAGAGTGGGGTGGGTCACGGAGCCAGGGTGGGGAAAGAGGTGGGCCAGAACCACTAGAGACTTTGATGGATGGTTTCCAGCCCCAGAGATTTCAGGCATTTCACCACCCTAGATAGGGTGATGGCAGAAGAGAAAGGAGTAGTTCCAGTCCTAGAGATGATAGGACACTGGGAAAAAAAGGAGTGGGCTCCAGTCCCAGAAATGGGAAGGGGCAAGTTTCTACCCTTGGAGGTGAGGGTGGAAGTAGGGAGATTCCAGATTTTGGCTGTGTTGCTCTGGATCATTGAGGGTATGGTCTGACAGCTTGAAGATAGGGACAGCAGCATCACCGGGGGTCAAGGATTCCCTGGCCTTCAGGTGAGGGGATCTGGGTGGCCAGGATCCGGGGCTTTAGCCGGCGGGGGAGGTGGTGGACGCATCTGTAGGGAACACACAGTTAGTGCTCCAGAGTCCTCCCTTAAGGGTATACCAGACAAAACAGGACTGATTGGAATAACCCCTCTAAATACAATTTCCTCCAAGGCAAGGGCCCTTACCGGCCTGAGTCGAGGTACCATCATGTCCAGGAGCCCAGGGAAGTCCAGGGCTTTGTCTGGAAATAAGAACCACAAGTCAGTCTTCAGACTTTGTTTTGTTCAATGCTGTATCTCCAGCACTTAGGAAAGTGGCATTCTATAAATATTTGCTAAATTAATGGTCACCATCCTAGACCATAAAATCCATCACTCTATCCACTGTCCTCAACATTTATTGGGTAACTGCTGTATAATCAGCTCTGCTCAAGGTATAAAACAAAGGCAGATAGGATACATAGCGCTCCTACCCCCAGTGGCTGTCAAGAAACCAATAATGAAACCTCAATAAACACAATAAATGACTAAGTGCTAAGTCATGCAAAGTGAACTTGGGGTGGTGGAGATGATGGTAACTCCAGGGAGGGAGACTCCTTGTGGACAAGGTGGGAGTACCAGAAGGTTTTAGAAAAGGCAGGCATTCCACAGCCATTAAAAAGAATGAAATCATGTCGTCTGTAGCAACATGAATGGAGTTGGATGCCATTATCCTAAATGAACTAACTCAGAAACAGAAAACCAAATATTGCATGTTCTCACTTATAAGTGGGAGCTAAACAACAGCTACACATGGACATAGAGATGGAAATAACAGACTCCCAGGACTCCAAAGGAGGCAAAGGTAGGAATCGAGGCAGGGGTGAGGGTTGAAAAATTACCTATCAGGTACAATGTTCACTATCTGAGTAACAGGTACACTAGAAGCCCAATCTCCACTAGTATGCAGTATATCCATATGACAAACAAGCACATGTACCTCCTGAATCTAAAATAAATAATAATAAAACTGCTATAGACATTTAAAAAAGAAAAAAAAGTGGGCATCAGAAAAAATGATACAAAGCTAGGTATCTGGACACTAGGAGCAAAAGGTGCATATTGGGAGGACACCATGAGAGAACTTAGCTAATTTTTAAAATAGTGACTGAATACTTACTGTGTGCCAGGCACAATGCTGTGTAGTCCACAGGCATCTTTTTTAACTCTCATAACAATTCAATGAGCTAGTACCTTTTCCTTACCTCATAAAGAACATAAACTGAGGCCCAGACAGGTTCAGAATCCCACCTCGAGTCACACACTTGGAAATGACAGAGCGGGATCTGAACCAGTCAGCCTGGCTCCAGAGCCCAGGCAAGTGCTCTCCACCAAGCTGCAATAGACCTTATTGCAAGATGCCTGAGGGCATGGAGAGGACCAGACCGTGACCTGGGAGTCCAAGCTTCCTCCTTCTTCCTTATCTGTTAGCCTCCCAGGGCTCCCAATTCCTTCCACTCACCCCCAGGCAGGACAGGTGCAGGGGGCCCATCCAACACAGAGGTAGGTGCAGGTGGGGAGAAGCTGGGAGGAGAAGGGGACGGCAGCATCTGGAGGTGGGGTGGGCACACAGTTATTCCTGGCACGTGGGGAGGTTTTACCAGCTTTTCCTCTCATCCCATCTTCAGTTCCTTCCTCATCACTTCCCAACACAGGAAGTGGCCAAATGCTTGCATTAAGATGGGGGGGTGTAGCTGACAGATATTCAACAGTCAATATGTATTGAACGCTTATGTATACTGTCTCAAGTGTTCTACTAGCACTTCACATGTACTAATTCATTCAATCCTCACCACTACCCCATGAGGTAGGCATTTTTATTAATATGACTCCTGTGTTAGAAGTGAGACCCAGGTTAAGCCAGGTCCAAAATCATAAAGCCAGTTATTGGCAGAGTGCTGGCTAGAACCCAGGTCTCCTGACGCCCACTCCTATTCTCTTTCTGCTGTATGTATATACATTATAACAATAGGTATCTTATATTGAAACACCTTCTGCATTCCACTGCACTAAAGGCTTTGCCTCGGCTAGGCATGGTGGCTTGCACCTGTAATCCCAGCACATTGGGAGGCCAAGGCAGGCGGATGACCTGAGGTCAGGAGTTCGAGACCAGCCTGACCAACATGGAGAAACCCTGTATCCACTAAAAATAGGAAATTGGCTGGGCGTGGCGGCACGCGCCTGTAATCCCATCTACTAGAGGGGCTGATACAGGAGAATTGCTTGAACCCGGGAGGTGGAGGTTGCGGGGAGCCGAGATCGCCCCATTGCACTCCAGTCTGGGCAACAAGAGCGAAACTCCGTCTCAAAAAAAAAAAAGGGGGGGGCTTTACCTCGATTATCTCTAATTATGACAGTGAGCCTGCTAAAGTAGGTATTATCCCCATTTTACATGTGAAGAAACAAGCTCAGAGAGATTAAATCATTGCCCAAGTTATACAATAGAAATTTGAACTCAGATCTATCCAGCACTAAAGTAGGACCCCCAAACTCCTATGAAGGCTGCCTTGGTTTCCCTTTCCCCTGCCCACCCATAGGAGATGGGGAGGCCCAGGCCACTACAGGAGGTAAACCTGGGGAGCAGAGGGGGCATTAAATGAATATGAGGCTTTACTGGGGTGGAAGGGTCAACTCAGAGGTGCCTGGGTAGTTCAGGGAGAAGGTAAGCCTCACCTGTTCAGGGTCAGAGAGTTCAGGTGGCCCTGGGGGACCAAGCAGCTCTTCCACCAGCAGTGAGGGGAAGACCCCAACATGGCCCCCAAATTCTCCCCTCCAGAAGCCGTCATCTACTCCATCTTGGGCCCGGGGCAGCAGACGGATGAGCGCCCCCTCAGGGAAGCTCAGCTCCTCTGCACTCTGTCCAGTGTAGCTGTACAGGGCCCGTGCCAGGAATGCTACAGAGGCCCAGGAGAAACGGTGAGAGGGAGGTGGGTGGCAGTGCCCCAGGGCCGTGACACCCCAGGGCTACAACCCCTAACAATTCTTCACCATACCCAGGGTCCCCTAACCCCAAATTTCCCTTTCTTACCTGTGGGCTCTACCCCAGAGGGATTGTCACTGTCTTGGCCGCTCTCTGGGAGGGAGAGGTCCGGGAAGTTGAGATACCGCTCAGGGACAAAGCCTACCTCACCGTGCTGGTTCCGAGCCTGCTCACCCAGCAATGTGAACAGATATTAGATTTACCTCAGCAGTCCATGACCCTGGCTCTCCTCTACTCACGCTTCTAGCTTTGCCTAGAAGGGTCCATGGGGGCCACAGAGAAGTCCCTCCTACTGCCCCCAACCCAAGGTCAGAGCCCAGGGTCCATACCCACCTTGACCCATTCGTCAGCATCTCCCTCCTCTATGACCTCCAGCCACTCACCCTCCGTGATTGTCAGCTCATCCTCATGCCCTGCCTGGGCCACACATGAAGGATTCAGGACTTGGCTGTCCCTGACCCTTGCCCATCAAAGGTTCCCACCCCCATCAAAGGTCCCCACCCCCATTCATACCTGATAGCGAAATACCACATGTGCAGGGCAGGGGAGGGGCCTAGTGGCCAGGGCTTGGGGGGCAGGCTCCTCAAAGAGCTCTCCTGTCTCCTCACATTCCTCAAAGTCAGAAAGCTCAGCATCCTCAGCCTAGAGGGGCAAAGAACAGACCTCATATAGGGCCCGCTCTCAAGCACTGGTTTATCTCCCACTCCTCCATCTTTCCCGTAAAGGACACCATGGATCCCCCTCCAAGGTAGTTGCACCCATCCACTTACCATGTATACAACCACAGTCACCACAGAGTAGGATAATAACAACAGTAATAGCAGAGTTACAGCAATTGAGTGCATACTATGTGCCAAGCACAATGCAAAGTATCTTGTATATATTGTCTCATTTAATCTTCATAATGACCCAGTGCTAATAGTTTTGCACAACTATTAACCTCACTTTATTTATGAGGAAACTGGGGTTCAGAAAAGTTAAGTCACTTTTCGAGATTGCACAGCTCATAAGTGGAGTGGCTGGTACTCAAAGCCCTTACAGATTGCCCCAGAACCCTACTTCTTAATCATTCTATTATGCTCATAATAAAAATTTACTGAGGATTCTATGCCAGAAATTATGTAAAGAATGATACATGAATGATTTCACTTAAACCTCACAATAACCCTTTGAGTTAGGCACAACTGTGATTCCAGTTTTATAGGGTTTGCGTTCCACTGGAGTTTTTCACTTCTAAGTAAGGATGGGTAGTGTCAGGGGAGGAGCTCACGGTTGGAGAGAGGTCCCTCTGGGACAGCCGAGCCTCGCTGAGACGTCGCTCCTGCTCCACCTCATCCTGGGCCTGGGTCATGGCTGGCTTCAGCCAGCGCTGCACATCGAGGCCAGCCCCCTGCAGCAGAGTCAGCCGGGCAGCCCCCTTCACCTGGCTCACCTGGCATAGGGAGGAAGGAAGTTAGTGGAACCTGGCTGATGGCAGTGTCTACTCTCTGCTTCTCCCTTCCCTCCTTCCCACCATCAGAAAGAGTAGAGGGAGTGGGGCTTGCCTGAGAAGGTGAGATCTCTAACCTCAGGGGTGTGCCTCACCTGTGCCCGGCGGATGCTCTCTCGCACTTCCTGTAACCTCTGTTCTATGCCTGGAGCCTCCCGTTCTGAAGCCTGCTGCCGCCTCTGCTCCAGTCGCTGCAGTACCTGGTTGGGAAGGCAGAGAACAGGGGTGGGTGGAAATACTGTGGGGCATGACTTACTACAGGACTGGTACTTTGCTAGTTGTATCACATACATTATGTCATTTAATCTTCCCTATGAGGTGGGCGCTATTATTGGCCCTACTTTAGTGATGAGGAAATTGAAGTCCAGAGAGGTTACGTCACTCCCTTACCCGGGGTTACAGAACTAGGAAGCAACAGAAGAGAATTTGAACCTATGTCGGTCTAGCTCCAAAAACTGTTCTTAACTATTGTGCCACACTGTTACCTTACAATACCTTTCCCTCCCCTCTGTAGCTCCATGACACCCTCAATGGCTCCAAGATCCCCTCTCTCAGCTTTTCTTGCTGAGACAAGAAGGTGCACATGACACCTGTGCCCCCCACCTCACCCGATGCCCATGGTTCTGGATCTTGTAGTCACGGGCAGCTCGGCTGGTCAAGCGCTGAACCTCTTTCTCCAGGCCACTCTCGCCAGCCATGCTTTCTGCTCCCCACTCCAGGGCACACACCTGAATGGGTCAGGGGGTGCTGTGAGGAGGACCTGAGGCTGCTCCTTCTCTCCAGTTCCCTCCTTTTTCCACTCTGTCTTGACCTCCAAGGACAAGGACAAAGAGGAAGGGGCACATGCCTATGGCCATGGATACAGGTAATGTGGACACAGAGATACAGAGCTTCAGAAATGGGATCCAGGTCGAGGGACAGAGGTAGAATGAAGAAGATGGTGCAGTCAAGTGACTGAAAGGTGGCCTGAGGTGTGTTTTTTGTGTGTGTGTGTCCTGGTGGGAGGGAGGTGAGTTGGAATTCTGAAACCCCCTCTCCATGGTGTAACACTTACTAAGTTAACGTAAAGACAAGAATGATGGAGGAGGAGGCCTAAATCATAGTCCCCTTTATATGTGGCCTGGTTCCAACAAGCAGGAAGGTCTCACCTGATCAGTCCCTGCTGGCTGAAACTGCTGAGGTGGAGTGGGGGAAAATACACCAGGCTCCTTAAGAAACAGCTTCAGGTCTTGCTCCCAGCTTACCTAGGGGTTGGGAAAAGTCAAAGTCACTCATTCACTGGCTCACTCTCCAACCCTGTTCCTAGCACTTCTTGGAAGAAAAAGGACAATGTGTGAAGGAAAGAGGGCTGCACTGGGAGGGAAGGGTAAAAAGGATCCCTAGGGAAGCTCTTAGAGGCCACAGCCCTCACCTGGGAGGTGGTCTGCTCCCCACGGTGGGCATGCTCCAGGACGACCTCTGCGGCTTCCAGCTCAGTGCGGCTGAGGGAGGTCAAGGGGTCCCTCAAGTGTTCTGACAGCTCACTGACAAGGGCCTAGAAAGAACCCCAAGATACTAACACCACCCTTCCCCCAGATCTCTACTGTAAAATAGGCTCGTTCCAGATTTGACAGGTGATGGTCATGAGATATAGGAAGGAGGGAAGAAGACATTCTTCATGAGAAAGGCCCTCGTGTGCAGAGCACTTAGAAGTTTAAAACATACTTTAACATCCATTCTCTCCTTTGAGCCCAACTAGTGTTACAAGATAGGCAGAGAAAGGGTCATCCCTGATGAGGAATCTGGGGTTCAGAAGGGTTACGTGTACTGTACAATGCCATGCAACCAGCTAGGAGCAGAACCAGAGCCCATGTATGTATCATCTACCCACTGTAAGCAGACAAGATCCCCTGCACCGCCCAGTGTCATGGGGATCAAGAAGCAAGGGGGAGGTCCTCCTTTCCCTCCCTGCTGAGGGACAGGGGTGTTTGGGTTAAGACTGGCCTTGAGCAGAGCTGGCAGTTCCTCCTGGTAGTAATGGTCGAGGTGGGCATTGGTAGCCACCAAGGTAAGCAGGTACTCATTGCGGGCGGCTTGCAGCTGCTGGGAGTACTGGGCTGACTGGGCGGACAGCTAGGAGAGTAAACTGATGTCAATAGGAAGCCCTAGACCCCTTGAGTCCTTCCAAGACCAATTGAGAAGCCAGATCCAGAATGGATTCTCACATTATTGAGTGCTTACTATGTGCCTGGCACTACACTAAAAATGTTGCATACTCACAACTCCTGCTCAAAATCCTCTAGTGCCTTCTGCACGCATTTAAAATAAAATCCACTGTTCCTTACCACGGTCCACCAGGTTCAATATGAGCTGACCCCCACAGCCTCTCTAACGTCTTTTCAAGTGCTTGTTCCCTTGCTCACAGTACTCCAGTCATACTGGCCTTCTCTCAATTCCTCGAGCCTACGAAGTTATTCCCACCTCAGAGCCTTTGCACTCATCATTTCTTCTCTCTGGAATGTTCTTCCTTTAGATCTTTGCAAGGCCAGCTCCTTCTTGACAATTAGGCCACCTATTCAGAGAGGCCTCCCTCTAAATTCTACCCCCTTGTTATTCTTTATCATAGTACCTTGTTTTATTTTCATCTTAATCTAAGTATTTATTTGCTGTCTGTCTCTCTTAACCAGACTGTGAGGGCAGGAACTCTGTTGGTAGTGTTCTCCACTTATCCATAGTGTCTAGAACAGTGCCTAGTACCTGCAGATCCTCAATAAATGCATATTAAAGGACTGAAAAAGAAGGGTATTCTTTCCATTTTATAGAAGAAAATAAGGCTCAGAGAGATGAAGTAAATTAACCAAGGTCACCCACCCAGGAAGTAGGAGAGCCTGGATTCAACCAGTCTTTCATACTTATGCACCTAGGTTCCAAACCACTAGACTACTCTGCCCTTCTCTTCCCTGCCCCACACTCATGCCCTCATCCCTCGAACCTTGGTGCTCAGTTTCTGGAGACTGGTCCGAGAGTGGAAGATCCCATGGTCACTTCGGTTTAGCCTGTGCAGATGAGGGAAAGGAGTCAGACCCACCCCAAGTGAGAGAATATGAGATCCGAGTCAGGCCCTGCTTTGGTGACTTGGCTCCACCCCTACACAGCCCCACCTCCCTGTTCCCCCACCTTGGGCTTCCTCACTCTACATGACCCCACCTGGCCTGGACGTCAGCTGCCTTCTCCTGTGCCAAGGCCCACACACGTTCCCGCTGCCCATACAGCTTCCGACTTCGGCTCAGCTCCCGGACAGACTGCAGCACCTCGGCCTGCGCCCTCTGGAGGTTCTCTGTTCCCTATTGGGATGCATACACAAAGTCCTGACCTAGACCACCTTTGGTCCCAAGCCAGCTTTTCCTTCACCCCATCCTCTGAGCCATACCTTCCTAAGCACCTGCTCCTTGGCGCTCCGCCCTGTACCCCCTGCTAGGTCACGGTATCGGTCGGACGCCTGGAGCCGGGTTTGGCCCCCAGCCACGGTGGCATCCAGCAGGCAGCGCCAGGCACCGAACACTGTCCTGCCCCTCCCCAGAGAAGGTCTGTGTTGAGGAGGAGAGCACTCCACAGCTTCATGAGACCACCCCCGCCCCCTGACCAACACCATGGGAGACAGAGTGCTTTCCCATCCTCCCTTGTCTGTAAGCCCATCAATCGATCAGCCCATTAGCTCAGCCACAAGCCTCACTCCTGCCCTCCACCCCACCCACAGTGTCCTTGCTGGGTCAGCTCCTCTGCTGCTGCTGTGTCAGCTCTACCTACAGCTCACGTGCCCTCCCCACTTGCTAGGCCTTCATCTCCACAGGCTCCTGGGGCTGAGCTCCCCATCACTTTTTGGTCCCTGTGGCCCGCCCCCTCCATAGGGCCCACCTGCTGTCCATCTCGCCGCTCCGGTGCCCTTCCCTCTTCAGGAATGGGCCAGCCAGTTTCTGGAGTGCCTGGTGAAAAAGCCATCACAGAACCAAGTTCCCTTTCAAAGACCCACCCCAACTGGGAGAATATGAGATCAGAGTATAATCATACCATCCTTTGGGTACATTATGTGCCACTTGCTTTGCTAAATGCCTTATAGTCATTAATTTGTATAATCCTTACAACAACCCTACATGAAGGTAAGGTATTATTTTTATTCCCATTTTACAGAGAAAGAAACTGAGGTCAAGAAAGGTTAACTAACTGGTCCAAGGCCATATGGCTATAATTACACAACAGGGATCTGACACCAGTCTGCTTGACTCTAGGCATCTGCTCTTGACCACAATAGGGATAGATATGGACAGACATTACTGGTGATGTAAAGGAGACTGGAACAAGAGGTAAGGTACAGAAAAAAGTCCCATACCTGCCCATACTCCCGTTCAATGGCTGCCCTCTGCTTGCTGTAGGATCTGCGGAGATTGCAGGTGGGGGGTGAGATGGGGGATAAGGTTATGTTTGGGCATGTTCTCCCATCCTCAGTCCTCTACTCTGGGCAGGAAGAAGCTGGGGGAGCCAGGTTCCTAGAGCGTAACTGCACCCAGAGGGAATGGGACTGATGGGAGTCCTTGAGATCACCTCAGGCAGCCGCAACACAGGAAACCCTCACCTTACTGCCCTGGGCCCCAGCAGGATCCTCCCCAACCCAGAGGTTCATCTGTGGGCTTAGAGGTGAAGATTGATGGGGGCCTGGGTACGACATCTGCCAGCCTTCCAACAGGTCTGGAAGAGGGAGAGGGATTCTGCTCTAAGGTTGATTGTAGGGTTGGGGGCAGTAGTGTGGAGTCAAGGGCTTTGAGGGAGAGTTCCTGTATTTATGTGGGGGGGGGAGCTGGGGGGGGTTAGGTTGGGGAGCATTCCTATCCAGTATCTGGAGAGGCCAAGCCTAGGGTGAGGGCTGTGGATGGGTCGGCTGGGGAGCTCTTGGGCCCTGTTCCTCCACCCCGGCAGATGTATGTTGGGGAGAAGTGGCGCACAACGACGAAGGTGAGTGTAAATGAAGAGGGTTAGGGGGCTACCTGATGTCCTCCAGCAGATCCGCCTCCCTTTGCTGCCGGGTCTGAAGGATGCTCAGCTGTTCCAGGAAGCGAAGCTTCACCTCCTGGGCCGGCTTCACCTGCGGGGGCAAGGAGAGGATGAAGACCCCGGGCGCAAGGACCTAAAAAACACTCCGCGCAGGGAGCGGTGAGGGGGCGGGGCCAGGGAGGGGCTGAGCTCTTTCCTCTGTTACTTCTGGTTTGGGGTCTGATCCCTTCCGACTTCCCGTCTCCCACCCCAAGTCGGGTGCCCCCTTAGCTCCGTCCGTTCCCCCAGCCCGCCAGGAGTCCCCATTCAGGAGCAAGCTCACTTTTCGGGGCGGTGGCTGCATCTCCGCTCCAGCAAGGCGGCCAGCGACTGGACTCCGGAACTCGAGGAAGCCCCGCCCACTGTGGAGCCCCGCCCCAGGCCAGGCCAGGCCCCGCCCTCTGCCCGCCCACGACTTGTCCGGCGACGGCGCAGGGCGCGGAAGCGAGAGCCGGCAGCAAAGAAAATAAACCTGTTACTGCTGCGAATACCCCGGAAGGGTCCGGGCGGCGGGGCGGACGCAGCGTCCGCTGGGCGGTGGGGAGAACCCCAGGCATCTGAGTCAAGACGCCTTGAGTTCTATTTGTAGTGTATCCACTGATTCAGCCTGTAATTATTGATAATTATTCATTTGCATCTGTAGATCACCAGTCCCTGAGCTAATGATGAGGAATTCAATGTGTGACCAGGGAAACTGAGTCACTGGGCACCTGAGCAAAGATGCATCTGACGAAGAGAGGGCTGGTCCCAGACCTTTTCCTAATTCCCGCTTAACTGGAAAAGCCAGCGTGAGCAGGGTGAGAAAGATGCCTGGATCCAGGAAGGAACCAGGCCCAAAGGTAAAAAGTCTGGGCCCCACTGAAAAGTAAACGATACTAGTGAGTCGGCGAGAGCTGGGAGATGCGCAGGAAGCCCCTGCCATCTTTAGGATCTTCCGGCCCTAGCACTGCTTTCTGAGGAGCCTCTCCCCCATTCCTCATCCTCCTCACCGAAGCTCCTTTGGCTCAGGCACCTGTCCCAGTAACCCTGACATGGTTCAAAACTCCAGATTCACACTCCAACTCCCCACTGACACCTCTGCTAGTGTATCTAATAGGAACCTCAACTTTTAAAGCTTTTATTTATTTATTTATTTATTTATTTATTTTTGAGATGGAGTCTCGCTGTGTTGCCCAGGCTGGAGTGTAGTGGCTGGATCTCAGCTCACTGCAAGCTCCGCTTCCCGAGTTTACCCCATTCTCCTGCCTCAGCCTCCGGAGTAGCTGGGACTATAGGCGCCCGCCACCACGCCCAGCTAGTTTTTTGTATTTTTTTAGTAGAGATGGGGTTTCACCGTGTTAGCCAGGATGGTCTCGATCTCCTGACCTCGTGATCCGCCCGTCTCGGCCTCCCAAAGTACTGGGATTACAGGCTTGAGCCACCGCACCCGGCTAAAGCTTTTAAAGCTCCTTCAACGTGATCCTCCCCCGGTAACGTTTTAAATGGCACCGAATTTCCTCCAGTTAGTTAAGCCAGAAACCCAGAGTCAGTGTGCCTTCTCCTACTCCTACATTCTATCCATCAGTAGGTCCTACAGGTTCTATTTCAGACAACAATAAGCAAACAAAAACCTCTTGATCCACTTCCCTCAATTTCCAAGACCACTATCCTAGTCCAAGCCCTCATTATTAGACTTCTGGTCTAATATCTGGTCTCCTTACTTCCACACTTCCCCCACCCCAACCCACTGTTCACACAGCAGAGTGATCAACCTTTTTTTCTTTTTTAAAGGGAAATAAGATCTCATCATTTACTTGCTTAAAATGCAATTGCTTCAGAATAAAATCCAAATAGAATCCATGGCCTTCAAGGCTATGCGTGGAAGACCCTGCTGGTCTTTCTTACTTCAGCCTGTACTCTCCTCCCACTGTCCGCTCACTGTGCTCCAGCCTCCTTGCTGTTCCCTCAGTAGACCAAGTACCTTCCAGTGCAGAGCGTTCTTCATGCCCGCTTTCTTTCTCCAGAATCTCTTCCTTCCAGCATTCCACCTGTCTCTTCCAACAGCTTCTTTCCCTTTGCAACTCTTCACAGATGCCTTCCCCATCCACCCAGTCCAAAGGCCATTTCCACAATCACTTTTTTTTTTTTTTTTTTTTGAGACGGAGTCTCACTCTGTTGCCAGACTGCAGTGCAATGGTGCCATCTCGGCTCACTGCAACCTCCGCCTCCCAGATTCAAGTGATTCTTCTGCTTCAGCCTCCTGAGTAGCTGGGATTACAAGCACGTGCCACCACAACCAGCTAAGTTTGTTTTTTTAGTAGAGACAGGATTTCACTATCTTAGCCAGGATGGTCTCAAACTTCTGACCTCAGATAATCCATCCCCCTCAGCCTCCCAAAGTGCTGGGATTACAGGTGTGAGCCACTGCGCCTGGCCTCCACAATCACTCTTCAAGTTCATCACTTTGGTTCAGTTTCTTCACAGCACTAAACTCACTTGTTCAAGTACTGGTTTATGTGTTTATTTGCTATTTTCTGTTCCCCTCCACAATGGAGGATCCATAAGAGCAGGGGCCCTGTTTGTTTTGTTCATGCTATATCCCCAGACCTGGGACCAATTAGGTGCACAATACATATTTGTTGAATGAATGAATGAGAATGGTAGTCTTTTGGTTCCAAGGTTTATTGACAATTACTCATCTATTTTTGACTCCCCTGGTCCCAGCCCCCAAACTCAATCAGTCTCCCTACTCCAGGCTTCACTGTAGTCCCAGAATGTAGGAAGTGGGACAGGATAGACTTTAACATCATCCAGGCCTCTGGTTTCCAAAGCATTTTTTTCTTTAATGCAATAAAACCATTCCTTTAAAACCCAAAATCTCTCACAGAACCCCTACATATCAAATATATAAAGCAGGAGCTGCCCTTGTTGAGGGAAAATATGTGAGGCTTATGGCTCTGACAGTTTGACATTCACTGCTCTCCTTACTTCAGTTACCTCATGGTACAGATAAATGGGCTGGGCCCAGAGAGGAGCCAGGACCTGTCCTGGGACACGCAGCCACTGAAGCCTTCAGTCCAATGCTCCTTCCACAGCACCACACTGGATTCTGGAGTCTTTCCAGCCGGGCCAGAGGAAGCTGCAACAGTGCCATGATGAGAGCTTCTGGGTCTTCTGGTACCTACCCTCTCAGACTGCTGGTCCTAGGGTCATGTGAGGGGATGGCTCGAGGGTGGACTAGAAGTGCAGGGGGGTTGGGTGGGGAAGCCAGGTGTCTGTGTTGGAAGGCCAGTGGGACTGGGGGATTGGGGGCTGGATGGCTGGGAAGGACTTCCCAGGCCTGCAGTGGTCTCTCCTTTCCTCAGGATAAGGCTGCTGAGCTCCTGGAGCAGCTGTTCCTCCAGGGACCCCCGTGCCTGGGGACTGCTCTTTGAAAGGGGGCCCGGAGGGGGCTCAGGTAGCCTCTCCTCCTGGCCCAGGGTGCTTGACTTGGACAGAAAGGGTTGATCCAAGGACTTCTGGCTGGTAAGGGGGTTCTCTGGCTTCACTGTCCACTCCCGTGTGGTGGAGAAAGAGGTAGAAGTGTCCTGGGTCAACTCAGGGAAGGCCCCTACTTCTTCATACACCGGCTCCTCATACACAGGCTCCTCCAGCTCCTCTTGCTCCTCCACAGACCCCTGGGATGACTTCATCGGCTGAATGGGAATGGGATGGCAGGAGTGGGCACAGAGTTAAAGTTACCAGATTATTAATCACTAACATTTACTGAGCTCTTCCTCTGGGCCAGATGCTGTAAAATACTTGGCATGTATAATACTAGAACAACCCTGTGCAGTGGGTTACACTACAAAAGAGTCAACTGAATGCAAAGGGGTTAAGTTGCCCAGCATCACATAATGAGTAAATGGCAGAGCTGGGGTTTGAACCCAGGTCTGTCTAACTCCAAAATGCATTCACTTCATCACTTTCCTTCTATTTCACAGATTCTGTGAAAACTTTCCCCTTTTTTTTTTTTTTTTTTTTTGAGACAGAGTTTCACTCTTGCTGCCTAGGCTGGATTGCAGTGGTGTGATCTCAGCTCACTGCAACCTCTGCCTCCCAGGTTCAAGTGATTCTCCTGCCTCAGCCTCCCAAGTAGCTGGGATCACAGGCATGCGCCACCACATCTGGCTAATTTTGTATTTTTAGTAGAGACGGGATTTTACCATGTTGATTAGGCTGGTCTTGAACTCCTGACCTCAGGTGATCCACCCACCTCAGCCTCCCAAAGTGCTGGGATTACAGGTGTGAGCCACTGTGCCCGAACTTTCTCCTTTTATTACCGCACCTTATACCTCTCATTTTCCTCATTCTTTCTGGCCTCCTCTCTCTCTCTGTCCTGTCCCTCTCCCTCTCCCTTTCTCTCTCTCTCTCTCCTCTCTCCCTCTCTCTCACACACACACACACACACACATACCCACCCTGATGGCCCACACACACACACCCCCCCTGATGGGCTACACACACACACACACACACACACACACACACCCCGATGGCCTACACACACCCTGATGGCCTACATGAGGAAAACAGAGCACATCCGGGGCTCAGGCAGCACAGAGGAACACAGGGTTGACAGGCATACTGCTGGAGCAGGCACAATACTCACAAAGAACATGGACAGGGTCCTCCGGTTGTGTAGTTGCCGCTGGACACAGGTGGGGTGGGAACAAGGGGAGGGAAAGATATAAAGACACAGTGAGGACTAGCAACAGGAGACAGGAGTGGTGAATGGGGGTGAAGAAGGCAGAAGGGAGGGGGACAGTGAGCACAGGGTGGCACCAGGCTAGCAGGCACACCACTCCCTACTGCAACGTGACAAGGGTTACAGCAGGAATCAGGGGTTGAGGCAGACTGGGGTGCCTTACCAGGGTCTGATTGGCAGAGAGGAGGGTGGCTCCACTGTCATCCCCACGGATAGGCAGCAGAGGCATAGTGCCAAACTTCTGACGGGCAAGGTCGGAGGAGGAACGGCGTCGTAAGACCACTGGCTGCTGGTCATCGTGCTGGTGGGAGCGTGAGGGGTTGGCACCAGTGGGCATGAAAGGCACTGAGGAGGATAGCTGGGCCCCAGGGGGACCACAGACCCAGCCCTCAGCCTTTTCCTTCCCCTCACCTGGGCTTTAAGGATGCTGGTGGTCCAATCCCACATCTCATCCTCGTCAGTGCAGGACAAGTAGCTGGGGTGATCAGAATGGAATCAGAGGGAGAGAGAGGGTCACAGCTATAGGAATGGAGCATAGAAAGAGGGAGGAGAAAAGACAGAGTGCAGAGCTGGGCCAGAGAAGCCAGGGCAGGAGGTACTCACAGGTGCATCTTCTCCAGTATCAATGTGAAGCCCCACCTGGGAGACAAAGACAAACAGTGATGGGGCAGTCAGAAAGGGCAGGGGGGTGAAGGCAGGAAGGTCGTGGAAGTGCGGGCTGGGGAAGAAAACTCACGGTGTTGGGGGCTTTAACTTCTTGCGGATTCCCAGGAAGACTTTGGCACCTTCCAAAGGCCACTCCCGTTCTGGTTTAGAGCTCTGAGAACAGAAACAGAGTCAGTGAGATCGAGAGATGAGAAATCATGGTTAATGAGGTCAAGATGTCATGGAAGCAATGGGGTCTGTGGTCACAGGGTCTCAGAAGTAGGGGGCAGAAAAGCAATGAGATTGATGAGAGTATGGGCTGTGGAGTCAGAGGGTGGGTGCAGTCATGGCTCCTCTCCATGGCCACCCAGCATCCCACGCCTCTGGCCCCAGGGCCTCACTTTCTTCTCCTTGAGTAGCAGCAGGCAGCGGTCACGCAGCAGAAAGAACCTCTCCTGGAAGCGGCTTCCCAGCAAGCGCGGTGGCTCCTCACGACACCGCAACAGCCCCACCCGTGGGCTCTCACGTCGGATACCTGGGCACAGATGGGCAATCATGGGTCGAGGGTGCTAGGGGAGAGACCTGGGGGGTGCTGGGCAGAGGAAGGAGGCTCACCTGTGAAGAGGCAGCCGGCTTGGGCCAGGGGGACTTTTTTCAAGAGCAGGGAGGCTGAGCAGGGCTCTGGGAGCTGGCACCATTGTAAGGCCTGCTCTAAGACCTTTTCCTTGGGATGCAGTGGCCGCTCTTAAGGGGTAAGGTGAGGGTATATATCAATCAGAATATTCATACTAAGCCCTCACCAGTCCAGCTCTCACCAGTCATTCATTCATCCATTCAATTATCCAACCACAGACATTTATTTTTCACTGTCTCTATGCCAGGTACTGTGCTGGCCCTGGGATACAGTGGTGAGCATGATACACATGGCCTCCCTTCACAAAGCACACAGTCTAGTGAGGGTATAGACACAAAATAATTGCAGACAAATAATTGCTTTGCAAGAAACAATAAGCTGAGCGAGCAACAGCACAGCAACTGAAATAGGGTAGTCAGGCAAGACCTTTCAAAAGTGGCACTTGAAGATGAGACTCAGAGATCTCAAGGATTAGGAAGAGCAAGCCATCCTACGATTGGGTGATAGATTTCAAGCATGACAAAATGCAAGAACAAAGGCTGTCAATCAGGAAAGATGTATTTGGGGAAGTAAACAGCCAATGTAGCTACAATGAAGAGGATAGATACGAGAACAGGTGATGTGAGGTGAGGCATGGAGGACGCAGGGGCCAGACATTCAGGGCCATGTGGGCCGTGGTAAGGGACTGGAATGATACTTTAAGTTCAATGGGAAGCCACTGAAGGGTTTTAACCATAGGAAGGATATGAGCTGATTTATGCTTGAAATGTTCACTTTGCTGCTGCGTGGAAAATTGACTGTAGGGAGGCAAGCATGGAACATTGTCCAGCTATCCCCTTTCTGGGGCCACGCATTTTAGTGGTTACTGTTGACAAAAAGATAATGGTGACTTCAGCTAGGATGGTGGTAGCAGTGGAGATGGAGAGAAATGATTGATTCTAATGGAATCGACAAGACTAGTTGGTGAGTTGGATATGAAAATGACACAAAGGGAGGAGTCCCAGAGGACTCCCAGGTTTCTGGCCTTAATCACCAGGTGAATTGTGGTACCATTTACTGAGTTGGGAAAAACTGGAGAATGGCCTAGACTTTTTTTTTTAGGAAAGGGGACTAGAAACCATCTAAATTGGTCTTAGATGTTTTACATTTGAGTTGGTTGTCAGAAGTGGCGGTGTCGAGTCGGCATTTGGATATGTGAGTCTGGAGCTGAGAGGAGAGATGTGGGCCAGAGATATAAATTTGGATGTCGGGTTATTAATGGCATTTAAAACCATGAGAATAGGTTAGTTCATCCAAGGAGAAATGTAGATAGATGAGAGAAAAGGGCCCAGGATTGAGCCGGGGGTCTCTCCAACATTTGGAATCTGGGCAAAAGAGGAAGAGAAGCTCCCTTTAAGATAGAAGGTAAACTACAAGCTTGTGGGGGTCACTAAGGCCAAGATGGAAGAATACTGAGAAAGAGGGAGTGAGTCAACTGTGTTGAATGTCCCCTCGCATGGATGAGTGGATGAGTCCGCTGTATTTGGTAACATGAAGTCACTGATGACCTTGACCACACAACCACACACAGGCATATACACATGCATGAACACACAGGCATGGTCATACTCACCCAACTCCCCATGCTCACGAATCTCGAAAGTCACCCACAAGTCCATCCCAGCTGCTGTCCCCCGCATCTCTAGTACCTGGTTAGTCAGCTCCTCAGCAGTCAGGGTTGGGGACACCTGGGGTCAGGGCAAGAGCAGAGAACCCATGCTGGTCAAGCTATTGCCCCTGGAACCTCACTATCCTCTTACTTCCCCTCCAATCCCCTCGGGACCAACCTTCAGGGTGACACAGTTGTCTGGGAGCTGCTGTTCTATATAAACTTCCATGATGAGGTCTCCAGCCTGAGACAGCTGAGGGGAGGGGTAAAAAAGTCAGAAGGACAAAAAAAGGATGCAAAAGAAATCAAAGTCAGAGGGTTCCTCGTGTTGCCTCATAAGCAATTCTTCCAACAAAGATCTCCTCCCAACCCCAATGTCACTCAGGCTCTTAAAAGGGAGAACTCTGGAAGTGGCAAAACTGCATCTTTAGGCTGCATATGTGCTCCCCAAGGCATCAGAGTGGTTGGGAGGACAGATGTGGAGTCAGACTGCCTGGTCTCTTCCACTCACTACAGGGTGACCTTGAATAAATGACCCTCTGAGCCTCAGTTTCTTTATTTGAAAAAAATGAGACTATCTACTTCATGGAGTTGTATGATACTAACATGAGATTAGAGGTGCTTGGAATATAATAAGTCCTCAGTTATGTTTGCTATTATATTTATTATTATTCTCACTGTTTTGTCTGATTTTACTAGCTCCTCCTTGGATCTCTTACACTTAGTAGTAAGGTCTCACTTGATGCTCCCACAGAAAACCAAAACAAACTATCCAGTGCCAAGATTATCACCAGGAAGAATCCTCATGGTGGAACAAATGGAGCAAACCCTAACCAAACCCCACTCCCCAAAGCACTTCTCTCATTGGATTTCCCCTGTCTCCCAGAGAGCTGAGTGCTAGTGTCCCGAAGGACAGGCTGGAAAGGAAACTTCCTCAGCTGGGCAGAAAGTCAGCTTCCTGTCCTGATGTCTCCTCCTGCCACATTCAGGAGACTAAAGTCAGGACGAGTTACCTGCACATCCTTCCAGGTGGTGATAAGACTGACCTCCAAGTCAATCTGAGCTACCTGGTCAGAATCGATCTGTGAAAGAGCCAAAAGAGAGTGTTGAGGTGCTGGAAGAGGATCTGCAGGGAAGATCTCAAGGCCAAGGCGGACCTGTTTAAAAGGGTTGGAGGCCAGAAGAGCTAAGAACCAAGGGTGTGAGGATGTTGGAAGTGAGGTTGTGGGAGAAAAAGGCCCAGGGTTCTGGGAGGTGGTTCTTGGTGTAGTGAGCCACCAGAGGCCTGGGCTGGGGGCTTGTTGGGGTGAGCAGGATCCAGAGTCTCTGGGTCCTGTGAGGGTAGGGGAAAGGGATTGTGAGTTAGAGGTCAGGAAAGTCTTACATCGAAGACAGAGATGTAGCCGTCAATGAGCTCCTGCAGCACCCGAACCTCATGTTCCCCCCGCCCATCCGTCTGGAACACGCTGGGCGCAAACAGCAGAGCCAGGTTCCGCGTGCACATCTGGTTTAGAGCCGCACATTTCTGCACCCTGCAGAGGGGTGCCAGGGTCTTCATCAATGTAGCCATTCATTCAGCAAACACTTATTGAATCCCTATTGTATGCCTGGGCTAAGTGCTTGGGATACAGTAGTAAGACAATATTGGCATCAAGGAGCTCCCAGTCTAGGGGAGACAGATAAGGCAAGATTCAGCAAACTTTTTATGTAAAGGGACAGATAGTAGACATTTTAGGCTTGCAGGCCAGACGGTCTCTGTTGTAACTCCTCAACTCTGTTGCTGCAGCATGAAAGGAGCTATAGGAAATGTATACATGAATGGGTGTGGCTTTACACTTTATGTACAAAACTTTATTTATAAACATAGGCAATAAGCTGGATTTGGCCCCATGGGCCTGTAGTTGACCAATCCCTATAATATAGTATGTTTTTATTATTTATTTATTTTTATCTTTTGTAGAGATGGGATGTCTCACTATGTTACCCAGGCTGGTATCCAACTCCTGGGCTCAAATGATCCTCCCGCCTTGGCCTCCCAATGTGTTGGGGTTACAGGTGTGAGCCACCACACCTGGCCCCTGTAATATAGTGTAATCAGTGCAATACAGAAAGGGTTTCTCCCCAGAATTGCTCAAAGACCTGTCTTCCTAACAGATTGGTAAAGGTAGATGTGCATCTTATTCATTTTTGTGTTTCTTATATCTAATGCTTTCCCTGACATCACATAATAAAACAAAATAATATTGATTGCTAACCATTTCTGAAGGCTTATGACATGCCAGATGTACTGGCATGTACTGTACTAAGAATTTAATGAATTTTGACTCTCTTTTTTTTTTTTTTTTTTTTGAGACAGGGTCTCTGTCACCCAGGCTGGAGTGAAGTGGTACAATCTTGGCTCACTGCAACCTCCACCTCCCGGGCTCAAGTGATTCTCGTGCCTCAGCTTCCTGAGTAGCTGGGATTACAGGTATGCACCACCACGCAGGGCTAATTTTTGTATTTTTAGTAGAGGCTGGGTTTCACTATGTTGGCCAGGCTGGTCTTGAACTCCTGGCCTCAGGTGATCCGCCCACCTCAGTTTCCCAAAGTGTTGCGATTACAGGTGTGAGACACCATGCGCCCAGCCTTCATTTAACTCTCTCATAACCTATGAGGTGGATATGATTCATTACATCATCCATTACTTCCTTTTAGAAATGAAGAAATTGAGGTACAAGTAATTTACCCAAAGTCACACAGCTACAATGATGGCACCAGATTAAAGCCTAGGTCTGTCTGATCCCCCAAATCCATTCTCTGAACCTTGATGCTATGATACCTTCACTTAACAACTGTTTGTGGAATGAATGAATGAATGAATGAATGAATGAAATGAATGAAAGTGCAGGGTCAGACTGAGGTGAGGAAGGGTCCTGCAGAGGGTCTGGCTATACTGACCGATAGAGATGCCCAATGAGGGTGGCCAGTGTGCGGCGGTTGACCCGCGGCAGGCAGCCAATCACATCTTTATATTTCTGCAGGCGCTGATTCTTCTGGGGCAGCTCTGGGGATGGAATGGAGGAGGGTTGGGGAGGACCCAGGAAGAAAGAGTGGCAGCTGGTATGGAGGGAGGGATTTTTAGACACAAACGCAGGATGGATGTGTCTCTGCCCCCTTCCCACCTCCCCCTGAGCCAAGTCTCTGGATGATCCCCCAGGGTGGGAAGTGATGGGGAGGAGGGCTGCCAAACCATGGATTCTGGTGGGGGAAGGCAGAGATCTTGGTTGGGCCTTGGTTCTCAGGGATCTTAGGAGTACCAGCAGCCTCCCTCCAGCGAGGCAGCAACCGTGCAGAGGTCACAGGGTCATCGAGCTCACGAAAGAAGCGTTTGAGTGTGTCAGTGACATCCTCCACAAAATGCTCCCCGGGTCGGAGCTTCACCGACCGGGCATCCCGACGGAACTCAGCCAGGAGTTTCAGGCTGCGGGCACGAGCGCCCCCTTTCCGGTATACACCTTCCAGCCGGAGCCCTAAGGAGAGCCAGCCATCTCTGCTCACCATGGTGCAAAGGCTACCACCACCCATCATGGCCCATCCGTGGCCTCCCTATGTGGTATGTGGCTGATGGGGGCATGGATTCAGAGAGGAGGAGCTCTATGCCTCCATGGTCTTCATTCTCAGGTCTCAGAAAGTCCTTCTCTGACCTCACTGTCACATGTAACAACCCCCATGACACTGTATTTCCTCACCACTTTTATTTTTAAATAGCACTCTCTGAAATCACTTTATAGTCCATCCTCATTATCTGTGGATTCCATATCTGCACATTCTCCTACTTGCTAAAATTTATTTGTAACCCCAAAATCAATACTTTTGGCATTTTCATCATCATTTATGAACAGAGTGAAGAAAAATTTAAGTCCCCTCCCCAATGTGCATGTTCTTACTCTAAACAAGTGTATCCTTTTAATGGTATATTTAGAGCCATATTTTTGTGCTTTCTGTTGGTGATTTCACTGTTTAAAATGGCCCAAGTATAGTGCTGAAATGCTGTCTAGTGTTTCTACGTGTGAGAAAGCTGTGACATGGCTTACAGAGAAAATACATGTGTTAGATTAGCTTCCTTCAGGCATGAGTTACAGTGCTGTTGGCCTTGGGTTCAGTGTTAACAAATCAAACAATATATATAAAATAAGGTCTCTTTACACAGAAAAACACATACAAGGATACATATTGATCAGTTGACTAAAATGTTATTGTAACCACAGGCTAGCAGGAAGTTAACCCTGTATTTCCCCTGGGGCAGTGATTTAGTATTCACTAATTAAATGTTTGGGGCCGGGCGCGGTGGCTCAAGCCTGTAATCCCAGCACTTTGGGAGGCCGAGGCGGGTGGATCACGAGGTCAGGAGATCGAGACCATCCTGGCTAACACGGTGAAACCCCGTCTCTACTAAAAAATACAAAAAACTAGCCGGGCGAGGTGGCGGGCACCTATAGTCCCAGCTACTCGGGAGGCTGAGGCAGGAGAATGGCGTAAACCCAGGAGGTGGAGCTTGCAGTGAGCTGAGATCCGGCCACTGCACTCCAGCCTGGGCGACAGAGCGAGACTCCGTCTCTCAAAAAAAAAAAAAAAAATGTTTGCAGTGGCTTAGAACATAACTACCACAAATAACAAGAACAGACTATATTTGTTTTCTTATTTATTACCCAAGAGATGGGTAATAAATAAGCTTCCTAGGACCCTCCCTGCTTACTGCCATATCCCCACTGTCTGACACATGGTAGCAGCTCAATCAATGTATGCTGACTAAACAGTGGTGGTACAGGAACCTTGGAGGCAAGGGGATGAACACCCAGATTCTTTCTTTTTTTTTCGAGATGGAGTTTTGCTCTTTTGCCCAGGGTGGAGTAAAGTGGTGCCATCTCAGCTCACTGCAACCTCAGCTCACAGCGATTCTCCTGCCTCAGCCTCCCGGGTAGCTGGGATTACAGGCATCTGCCACCATGGCCAGCTAATTTTTGTATTTTAATAGAAACGGGGTTTCACCATGTTGGCCTGGCTGGTCTCGAACTCCTGACCTCAGGTGATCCACCTGCCTTGGCTTCCCAAAGTGCTGGGCTTCCCAAAGTGCTGGGACATTACCATGTCCAGCCCCATATTCTTTCTTCAGAGCTTTCTCACTGAGCCTCTGATTTATTTCCTCCTTTGAACACGAGAGAGGTTGAGAAGAGGATAAGGATGTAGCGAGTGGGGGAGGTCACTGAACAAGGCCACTGCCAAGGCATGGAAAATGTTATTAGCCACTGACTATCCATTTCCCATGACTAGTAACAATTTTTTGTAGGTTTGTGGAGGTGCTGTTTTTTTCCTTACAGTCAGCCCTCTGTATCCATGGGCTCCACAACTGCAGATTCAACCAACATCAAAAATATTTGGCAAAAACCCCGAGATAACAATATAACAACAACAAAATACAAATAAAAACAATACAGCATAACAACTATTTCCACAGCACTTGCATTGTATTAGGTATTATAAATGATCTAGGGATGATTTAAAGTATACAGGAAGATGTGCCTAGGTTATATGCAAATAAATACTATGCCATTTTATGTGAGGGAGCATCCATGGATTTTGGTATCCACGGGGGTCCTGGAACCAATCCTCTGCGGATATTGAGTGATGACTGTACTGCCCACCTTAGTTTTCTGTGAATTTTCCTTCTTAAGAGTCCAGCCTTCTAAAGAGGGTTCACAGGAGAAAAAGATTCTTTTTGGTCCTTATTTAGACTGGATAAAAAACAAAGGGCCAGGTGCGGTGGCTCACGCCTGTAATTCCAGCACTTTGGGAGACCGAGGTGGGTGGATCACCTGAGGTCAGGAGTTTGAGACCAGCCTGGCCAACATGGTAAAACCCATCTCTACTAAAAACATAAAAATTATCAGGTGTGGTGGGGCACGCCTGTAATCCCAACTACTTGAGAGGCTGAGGCAGGAGAACTGCTTGAACCCAAAAGGCGGACGTTGCAGTGAGCCGAGATCGCACCACTGCACTCCAGCTTGGGCGACAGAGCAAGACTTCATCTCAAACAAACAAACAAAAACTCACAAAGAATTATGGGGGCCATTTGCACAGCTGACCATTTAAGCCTGGAAAACCTCTCACACAGAATAATTCTGCTTAAAACTTCTGGGAATGTGCCGCACAGCTCAGCTCTTACCCCACAGCTGCTTACTGTTTGCCATGGCTCTGTGTCCTCAGTCACATTTTCAGTGCTCCTCCCCTACTCCACACTCTGACGAAACTTCTGAACACTTATTACATGCCAGGCCCTGCACTCAAGGCTTGACAAGCATTGTCTCACTGTCACAATTATCCTGGAAAATGAGGACCGTTGGCCCCATTTTACAGATGATGGAATTGAGGTTCAGAAAAGCAAAGCAGCCTGCCAAGAGTCATATGACCAGCTGGTGTCCAGTTGCAGTTTCTAGAGGCAAAGCTCTTCCAGGCTGTGCTCATGTTCCACCCTGGCTGTGCTCACGTTATCCACCCCCTCATCCCCCCACCCCCCACCCCCCACCCCCACTGGCTCAGTATCAGCCAGTGCCTACTCACCATGCTGGGTAACGAAACTGATGCAGGCATCCACGATGATGGGGATGTCACCCCGGCTCATCTGCTGCTCCTGCAGCCCTGTGCCACCCCCACCAGCCGCGCCCCCAATGGCTGTGTTCCATGCCGTGAAGTCCAGTCGGCCCTCTCCTTGCAGATACAGGGTCCTGAGACCGGAGAGGCCTGAATCAGAGCCAGCTCCTCTGACAGGCCCAGATGCATGGGGACCAGACTTCCCAGAGTCACCAGCAGAGGGCAGCAACATCCAACCCAAATCATCTTGGAGCAAGGGAAGAAACTTTGAGGAAGTGGGCAATAGCCCAGCAGGCCAGGTTGCAGAGTGTGGGCTTGGCTCCAGGAAGGGGAGCCCCAGGTCAAGGGCAAGGGCAATTTACCTTCCTGTCTCCACCAGGACCAAATACTCTTTCTTGTCTGGGGTGTCAGCTGCAGAAACCACACCTGGGAGGAGAATCAGTGGACATTTTCATGATTATCATCTTCATTATAGAGACTATTATTTATTAAATGCTTAACTTGCATAGATGCCAGGCTAGGAACATTACCAAAAACGTTCAGTTGAATCCTATGAGTTATGTACTATTATTCCCATTTTATAGGTGACACATTAAGCTCAGAAAGTTTAAGTAACTTGCCCCAGATCACTTGCTATAAAATGACAAGACTAAGCACAAACCCAGGTCTCTTGTTTCCAAAGTCCTAAAATATTATCTTACATTGTTCCTCTTTTAGGAGAAAGGAAAGCAGCGAGGGTACCCAGTCCCCTCTCCCAGGACCCAACCAGCAAGTGACTCCAATTAATAACATTTATAGGCTGGGCGAGGTGGCTCACTCCTGTAATCTCAGCACTTTGGGAGGCCAAGGTGGGTAGATCACCTGAGGTCAGGAGTTCGAGACCAGCCTGGCCAACATGGTGAAACCCCGTCTCTACTAAAAATACAAAAATTAGCTGGGCGTGGTGGCAGGTGCCTGTAATCCCAGCTACTTGGGAGGCTGAGGCATGAGAATCACTTGAACCTGGGAGGTGGAGGTTGCAGTGAGTTGAGGAGTTGAGATCATGCCCTTGCACTCCAGCCTGGGGGATAGGGCGTGACTCTGTCTCCAAAATAATAATAATAATAATAATAATAATAATAATAATAATAAAAAATTTATTGAGCACTTAAAAAATGCTTGTCAGGCTCTGTGATACATGTTTTAGATGCATTACCCTATTTGAACCTCACTACAACCCTCTGAGGAAGATGTTATTATTGTACCCATTTTAAAGATGAGGAAACTAAGGCACAGAGAGGTTAAATAACTTGTCCAGGGATATACAGCTAGGAAGTGATGAAGGTGGGGTGTAAAGCTGGGCAGTTGCTGGGCGTGGTGGCTCACGCCTGTAATCCCAGCACTTTGGGAGGCCGAGGCGGGCGGATCAGGGTTTAGTAGAGAAACCCTGTCTCTACTAAAAAAATACAAAATTAGCCAGGCATGGTGGTGCATGCCTATAATCCTAGCTACTTGGGAGGCTGAGGCAGGAGAATCGCTTGAGCTGAGGAAGTGGAGGTTGCTGTGAGCTGAGATTGCGCCATTGCACTCCAGCCTGGGCAACAAGAGTGAAACTCCGTCTCAAAAAAAAAAAAAAAGCTGGGCAGTTTCCCTTCAGAGCTTGTACCTGAAGCCACCATGTTCTGCTGTTTCCCGTAAGAAACCCCAAATAATAAAGGTCTGCTCCTATGCACCCCCATGGCCACCCTTCATCCCTGTCCCCCCAAACCTCCCCGCTTACTGATCTCCTGTAGCCTCCGCAGATGCACCATGTCCTCAGGGGCTGGGGGGCCGGGGCCCGGCGCTGAGCACAGGAAGAGGTGGTCACCACGAAGGAGGCCGAACCCTGACAGCCAGACACCAGGGGCCGGGGCTGTATGGGAGGGGGACCGCAGCCATAGGCGGCCCAGCCGCAGCAACCCAGGACCCAGCAGCTGGTGGCAGCTCAGCGGGGAGAACCACTGTAGAGGCAGGGGAGGACAGGAGAAAGGGGGATGGGGGAAGAGACAAGGAACAGGGGAGAGAAATGAGAGTGACCGGGGTAGGGAAAAGCAGAGAAAAACACAAAGAGAAAGCAGAAGAAAAACAGGAATGGAAAGGGATTGGAGAGAACAAAGGAGACAGCCAAGGAGGAGACATGAGATGGATGGAGAAAGACAGGAAAGAAATTCAATTCAATTCAGTTTGCTCTCCCCAACATAAAGAAGACCACTGTGTGGCAGCCTTGAGCCCTTAATTGAGGTGTGGGTGTAAGAAAGAATACTCATTCTTGTGCAGTGCTGTGATCATGGCTCACTGCAGCCTCAACCTCCCCCAGCTCAGGTGATCTCCCCACCTCAACCTCCTGAGTAGCTGGGACTACAGGAGCATGCCATCACACCTGGCTATTTTACTTTTTTTGTAAAGATAGGGTTTTGCCATGTTGCTCAGGCTGGTCTCAAATGCCCACCTTGGCCTCTCAAAGTGCTGGGATTACAGACACGAGCCACTGCGCCAAGCCAAAAAGGCATACTCATTCTTTATAGCCAAAAATGCTACACCTGAAGACTCATGATGCCCTGGGAAATCCCACCACCCTAGGGGGCTGGGGAGAAGCTTCATAGAGGAAAGGATGTTTGAGGTCGACTGCAAAGCAGTGCTTCTCAAACTACCTGCAGTAAATTGCAGTAAAGGACCAGAGCTTTTTTTCCTTTTTCTTTCTTAAAGTCCCAAGCTGTCACTAACCAATAGCGTACTTTCTTTTTTTTTTTTTCATTGAAATGGAGTTTCGCTCCTCTCTCCCAGGGTGGAGTAGAGTGGCATGATCTCGGCTCACTGCAACCTCCACTTCCCGGGTTCAAGAGGTTCTCCTGCCTCAGCCTCCCGAATAGCTGGGACTACAGGTGCCCACCACATCTGGCTAATTTTTTGAATTTTTAGTAGAGACAGGGTTTCACCATGTTGGCCTGGCTGTTCTCAAACTCCTGACCTCAGGTGATCTGCCTGCCTCAGCTTCCCAAAGTGTTGGGATTACAGGCATGAGCCACCACGCCCGGCCAATACTGTATTTTCATTAAAAATAATAAAAGTGGCCAGGCGCGGTGGCTCAAGCCTGTAATCCCAGCACTTTTGGAGGCCGAGGCAGGCGGATCACCTGAGGTCAGGAGTTCGAGACCAGCCTGACCAACATGGTGAAACCCCATCTCTACCAAAAATACAAAAATTAGCTGGGCATGGTCATGTGCACCTATAGTCCCAGCTACTCAGGAGGCTGAGGCATGAGAATTGCTTGAACCCGGGAGGCGGAGGTTGCAGTGAGCCGAGATCTCGTCACTGCACTCCAGCCTGGGAGACAAGAGCAAAACTCCATCTCAAAAAGAAAATAATAATAATAATAATAATAATAAAAGTGAATTGCTAGAAAATCTGGATGAAAAAACGAAGAATACAACCCGACCCGCTTTTTTTTTTTTTAGGCGGGCCTCACTTACCTAGGCTGAAGGGCAGTGGCATGATCACAGCTCACTGTAGGCTCAACTTCCAGGGCTCAAGCAATCCTCCCAACTCAGCCTCCCCAATAGCTGGGACTACAGGTGAGCACCATCATGCTTAGCTAATTCTTTTATTTTTTGTAGAGACGGGGTCCCAGGCTCCTCTCAAACTCCTGGGCTCAAGCAATCCTCCCGCCTCAGCCTCCCAAAGTGCTGGGATTTGCAAGTGTGAGCCACCACGCCTGGCCCAAGCCCTTTTTTTAAAATAATTAGATTCAACACATAAAATTACTATGTCAAATTGCTATAAAATATTCTAAATGCTTACTCTCAAGTTCTGTGCTTATCCTGTCATGGACCATAACACATAGTCCAGGGGCTAGTGTGGTGTGACAGTCTTCACAGCACCCTCCGGGTAGCACTGCCTTAAAGGATAGCTTTTTGGAAATGTAGATAATAATGAGAGGAGACTTAAACCTGGTTGGGAGGGCCACGACAGAGCCTTGAAAAGATATAGAGACAATGTGTTAGTGTGAGGAGTTGTAGGAGGCCTGGGAGAAGGTGGTCAAAAGCCAGAGCAGTGGAGCATTTCCCATACAGGAGTGCCAGATGCTGCAGAGATGACCTGGTAAGGCTGGGAGGCAGCCTTGGCCCTTGGAAATGAGAAGGCACTGGTGACCTGCTGGGTAGCAGTTCAGAAGGGCATGGGCAGAGGAGGGCAGCTGCAAGGGGTCAAAGGGGAACTGCAGGCTGCACACGACTTTCTGACGCATTGTCAGGAGGGAAAGGAAGGCACCAGGGTGAAAAGTTGAAGATGGAACAGATCTTAGGGAAAAACTGTCTTAGGATGGGAGAGATTGTCGTCATCATTGTCATCATCACTACCATCATTATTATTTCAACGCCCACATACTGAGGGCTTGCTGTGTGTGGGCCTCACATGTCATTTAATCCTCAACCCTAGGGGGTGCGTCTTTTACGCCCACTCTACAGATGTGGAAAAGCTCACAAGGCTAAGAGTTGTGAGACTCCAATCCCAGGATGTCTGACTCCAGGGCCTGAACTTTCAGTTCTGGCAATGGCATACAGGAGGGAGATACTGGCTTATCTAAGAATGGACAAGCTGGGAAATATGAAGGTAGCTTTGCCTCTGGGCTTGCTGGAAAACTGGAGCAGAGGGTAGGTAGTGGGAATCAGAGCCAGCTTCTTCGTGGGAGGAGGCATTGGCACAGCGAGGTTTGGGCCATGAGCTTTGCAGACAGAGGCCTGAATTTTAGTCCTGTGCTCTGCTGCCTCCTAGCTCTGTGACCCTGACCAAGTGAATTCGTAAACTCTAAAACTTAGTTTCCTTATACGTAAAACCTTACCTCTGAGGGTGGTTGTGAAAATTAAATGAGATATCGAGTGGGCAGTGCTTAACACAGGGCCTGGCACAGAATATGTGCTCAGTCACCCTTAGCTGTTAGTGGAAGAAGTGGCTGTAGAAATAAGAGAGAAGATGGGAGCACGTGGGGACAAGGAAAGCACGAGTTGCTGCAGAGGGCGCTCTCCTGTCTCACCTTGCCCACAGCACTAGTCCAGGCCTCCAGACTGTCAGCTCCATCTGTGCCAAAATGCTGGATCCTCCCCCCAGTGAGGATGAGCTCAAAGGAAAAGGGGAACCTGGAGAGAAGATGAGGTCAGGGAGGAAAATCGGACCAATGAGGGGGCTGTCAGGCTGGAGGTTGGGAAGAGAAAAGGGGAAGCTCAGTGAGCACAGGAGGGCTATTACCTGTCAAGGTCACCTGGGTCAGTGGGTGGGGGGCTCACACCCAGACATACAATATCCTGGGGCTGTATGAGGCTGAGGGGTTCAGGGCTGTTTTCTGAGGCAAACATTTCCAGAGCTGCTCCCAGCACACACCATAGGCGGGGGGGAGCTAAGGAGAAGGGAGACAGTCAGGGGTAGCAGTCCTCTGCCCCCACTGTCATAGTTCCCATTTACCAGATATTTATTCTGTGTCAAGCCCTTTGCCCATATATGATCCCATGAAATCTTCACAATAACCCTATGAGGTGTTATACTCAGTCCTGTTTTGCAGATGGGGAAACTGAGGGTCAGTTTCAGTAGCTCGCCCAAGACACATAGGTAGGAAGTAGCAGAGCTGGGATTTGACCCAGACAGTCTGACTTCAGAACAGATGCTCTTAACTATCACTCAATGCTGCCACCTGGCCTGGTCTCTCTCTCATCCCCAGGACCCCAACCTATTCCCAGGCATGGCCCTACTTTCCCATCCCAGCCCTCACCTCTTTGTCCTTCTGCAGTACACTCACACCCATCCACTTTCTGTCCCTGTATCCTCCCATCCCTTGGCTCCCCCTCACCATCCCGGCCCCTGCGAGGGGGTGAGGGTCCAGCTTTGTTGGTGACAGGACCACAGTACAGGAAGCCGCTGTAAGTAGCAGGCACCACCACCTCATTGTACACACCAGGGGAGGGGTCTGCAAGGGGAAGGGGAAGTAGTAAGGTCAACCAAGTGCAATGGGATCACCTGACCCCCTCTGGGGAAGGGATGAAATGGAGAAAGACAGTGGGACCTGACTCCACTGGCAGCACAGCCAAGTAGAGCCCAGTGGAGCTGGATCCCTCACTACCCAGATTGCAAAACAGAGAGGCAGGGGGTAACAAGACAGGGAGGCCTCTGGCCCAGCCCCTGCCCACTGCCTCTCCCCACCAGCCAGCCAACCAGGCTGTTAGCTCTGGGTGGGCACCTCAGGGCATGTGCCATCCTGTAAGGGTCTCAGCCCCACTGGCCTGACCAATGGAGATGAGTGTAACTAAGCTGATCACTTCTTTGAGAGATCAGACTGTCTCCAGGGAGACTAGCCCTGACCTATGGATTGGCCCTGTCTGGGGTGGACCAGCACTAGCACCTGGAACACCCAGACCCTCCCCAGCCATGATCATCATCAGCTATCGCATGACATCAGGAGATAGGCCCTGGAGGATCTGAGGATTTGGGAAACTGCCCAGGCTGGGCCACTGTGATCAGCTAATTGGGGCCCCTTGGAAGAAGTGAATCATAGGTTGGGTCTGAGAATTCCTGTGGGGGAGAGAGGAGGCACTTGGGGGATGACCTGGGGTCACGAGGCCAGGGCAGCTGCCATCAAGGGCTGGTGGAGACCAGGGCTCCTCGCCCTCGAAGGCCTCAACACAGAGGAGCTGGGTCATGTTCTTCAGCAGGTTGGGTCCTGCCACAGCTGCACACAGTGCCTGCAGGGAGGGAAGGGCCTCTGTCAGCCCCAAATCCCAAACAGAGCATTGGGGACAGTCGTATGATCACCCAAAACAGTCCCCACCACCCAAGTCTAGGCATTCCAACCCCAGAGAGTGTTTCCTGACCCCTCCTCCACCCCAGATCAGCCCTGCTCTGTCCCGCCTACCTGGAGAAGCTGGCTATGATCTGGGTACTGAGGGTGGGGCTTCCGGAAGAGACCCAGCCGGTACTTTCGGGAGATGAACTCACCCCGGAGGCCAGGGGTCGCATCTGGATGCAGTCCCTCACCTGGGGGTAGGGTCCCTGCCCAGAAGCGGTTGGCACGATCATTTCCCAGGACAATGAACAACTGTGGGATGACAAGGGGCAAAGGCAGGTGACAGGAACTCAAGAGTCCTCAGATGTTCCATTCCTGTCCCCAGGCTGGCCCAAGGCCTGCTTCTGGATGCTCCCTTCTACCCCTCCCTCTTTCTCCCTCTTTTGCCCCTCACCTGCACTATCTCATTACTCCAGACACTCGTGTCCAGCTTCAGGCTCTGCACCTTGGAGATCCCAGAACCCAGGGCCCGGTGCTGACCTGTTTGAGGGTGTGTGAGGGTGTGAGGGGCATGGTGCATGGGTACCCTGAGCCCTCTAGTCCCAGACCTCCTGTTCCCCACATAGGCTTGAGGCCAGTCCTCACCTGCACACTGCTTGCAGATGACCACCCCCAAATTGACAGCGGCCCAGTCTGGGCGGGAGGACCCACAGTCTGCACAATGCCGGTTGGCCCGATTAGACCAGATCTTCTCAGCCACCTCGTAGTCAGACAGGGTCTCGGTTACTGCTTCCTGCAGAGCGGCCGCCCAGCTCTGCCGAGCACCCCCAGACTCGGCTGTGAAGCTGAGGGGTTGACAGCCAGTCCATGGGCATGGACCTACCCACCATGTCCCATACCCCTGGCCCTTGCTGCAGGAGCCACCACAGGCCACACCTGGGGCAGCCCAGACCCTTCTGACATCTTGACCCAGCTCACTGGACTACCATCCGTGCACACCCTCTGACGTCCTACTGAGGAGGCCTCCAGTCCTCTGCACCCTTGTGCCTCCCCCAAAAGTCCCCCAGCCTTGCCTCCCACTGGCCCAGGCCCCACCTGAAGCAGCGATGGGGTGTGAGCAGGTCGAAGCTTCGACTCTTGGTCTCCCGAACGCTGCAGCCCTGCAGTTCGATGAAGCAGATCCCGATGCCCAGAGAGAAGGCCTGGTGGGGTCAGGGGGTGGGCATCGTGAGGTGCCAGAAGAGACTAGTTCAGGCCCCTCAGCCCTCACCCGGCTCTCCTCACCTGCTCACTCTTGTACAGTGCCAGCTGTCCAGGGCTCAAGGCAGCAAACACCTTGGCCTTGTGTCCACGCAGCTCCAGCATGCCCGTGCGGAGGGGTCGGGGTGGCTGGGGGGGCCTGGGGTGGCCCAGGAGGCGCTGCTCCTTCAGACAGGACTGCAGTGTGGAGCACCACGTGTCCCGCTGAGCTGGTGGGGATGGAGAAGCAGGTCAGTGGCTATTGCGCACACAGCCTCCCTCCCTCCTGCCCTGACTCAGGGAGCTGTGGCCCTCACCCTCACTCTCTGTGCGGAACACGAACACCCTCTGGCCGGTGATGACCTGGAACTTGTTGTCCTTGCTGCTGCGGGTCATCTCAATGGCAGTCAAAGGTATCACACCCTTAGGGAAGGGGTCCTGCAGAGAGAGAGCTCAATGACCCACGAGGACAGGAACTGAACCATGTGTGCCAACCCCTGGGTCCTGCCCCAGATTTTATGAGATTGGCATTCAATCCACAAGCAGTGGGTACAGCTGCTAAGCCAGCTACTTTAAATGCTGACATCAGTCATGCAGTCACTGCCCCCCCACATACACCATGGACTTCCCTCCTTCCAATTCTGAGCCCCTCTCAGCCCTCCCTCTCCCTCATCTCCATGTCACATCTCCTAGCCCCCCACCTTGTCACTGCCAAAGTACATCAGACTCCTCCCGTTGAACTGCACAAAGCGTCTCTGGAAGACATAGTTTCTGAGGAAGGAAGAAGCCAAGATCACTGTTTGAGGTTGCATGGGGTTAGGGGGATCATAGGGTCTGGGGGCACTTTCCCGTGCAACCACCTCCCAGCCTCTCTCTTCTCCCTCCCTTCCCCTCCCAGCACCCACCCCTGAGGGGAGAGCTTGTCTAGCCAGCCACTGAGCAGGGGCGTGGGGCGGTCTGCCGTGAAGGAAAAGCTGGCATAGGGTGAAATGAGGTCATCACTGGTCTCCTCTGTTTCCAGGGTGGGTGATAAGAGAGTGGAGTCTCCAGGTAGCTCAAGGCTGGCATAGCCAGCATCCTCCCGTGCCTCCAGATCCTGCCTGCTGAGCCTTGTGGGGGCCAAGACAGGGAGGGACACACATTAGACAAGTACCCTGGACACCCTCTTTGTACCTTCTCCATCCTACTCACATCACCTAAGAATAGAATGCCTAGCAGGTGCTGGATCTGCTTTTCTTTTCTTTTTTTCTTTCTTTCTTTCTTTTTTTTTTTTTTTTGAGATGGAGCTTCGCTCCTGTTGCTGAGGCTGGAGTGCAACGGTGCGATCTCGGCTCACCGCAACCTCCGCCTCTGGGGTTCAAGCGATTCTCCTGCCTCAGCCTCCTGAGTAGCTGGGATTACAAGAATACGCTACCACGCCCGGCTAATTTTGTATTTTTAGTAGAGATGGGGTTTCTCGATGTTGGTCAGGCTGGTCGAAAATTCCTGACATCCGGTGATTCACCCGCCTTGGCCTCCCAAAATGTTGGGATTACAGGCGTGAGCTACCACGCCCAGCCTCTTTTGAGACAGGGTGTCTCTCTCTCTCTGCTGCCTAGGCTGAGCACAGTGGTGCAATCATGGCTCACTGCAGCCTTGAACTTCTGGGCTCAAGGGATCCTCCCACCCTGAGAAGCTGGGACTACAGGCATGTGCTGGCCACCACACCTGGCTAATTTTTTAATTTTTATTTTTAGTAGAGATGAGGTCTCGCTATGTTGCCCAGGCTGGTCTCAAACTCCTGGGCTCAAGTGATCCTCCCACCTTGGCCTCCCAAATTGTTGGGGTTACAGGCGTGAGCCACTGTGCCCAGTCTGGATCTGCTTTTCAAACAGGGGAATAGGGAGGTTCAAAACCCTTAAGATTGGCATGGAGCTGCTTTCCTGAGCATACTTCGAATTTTTATTGGGAAAATTTCAGTCCATCTTCTGTGCCATTAATATGACTCGGATGGAAAAGACGGGGAAGGGCTGTGTAGATGGCTGCCTGTCATGGTTGCCCATGGCTAATCAATATGTCTTGACTCTTTCTCCAAAACGTTCTTGAACTCTCCCTGGACCAAGCACCAAGTTCCTATCAACTCTCACCAGGGAGATACAAATTCCCTAACTGGTCACCTGCTTTCATTCTTGCCCTCCCTCCCACACTCATTCTCCCACAGGCACCAAAGTGCTCTTTTACAAATGCAGATGAGACTATTTTACTCCCTTGCAGGAAGACTTTAATAATGTCCCATTTGCACTTTGGTTAAACCCAAATTCCAATGGGCTGCAAGAACTTGTACACTAAGGCCCATAGACACTCCCCTGACTGCATCCTGTGTTGCCCTGGCCCTTGCTTACAGCCACATTCTCCTCCGTGTTTCAGAGCCTTTGCACACACTCTTCCCTCTACCTAGAACTTGCCTCCTTCCATGCTTCCCTGGGCTGCTTTTTTCTCATCCTTCAGGTCTCTGCTTATGTCATCTTCTCAGAGAGGCCTCCCTTAACTAATCTGAGTAGATTCCTCTATTATTCTCTATCACTTTCCAGGGGTTCTCAACCTCAACAGCACAAAATAACTTGGGAAACATTAAAAAATTTCAGTACATGGGCTCCACACCAGACACTTAAATGTGAATCTCTGGGAGAGGGCCCAGGCACTTGTAGTTTTAAAAGTTCCCCAGCTAACATTGAGAACCGCTACTGCAGCCTGTTTCCTACTTCACTGAGAAATTGAAGTAATCAGATAAGAACCCTCACAGACTCCCAGTGCCATGTTTACCCAACTTCACGCACATATTCTGCCTTCCTCCTGTGACTATAATAAACACCCGTGTCTAAAGCCAGACCCTCCTCTGTGCACTTAAGCCTATTGCTCTCACCCACACAATCACTCTAGACATCCCTCACTCTCCTCTCCCGTACATAACTGTCCCTCCCTACCAGATCATTCCTATTCACCTACAAACCTACATAACATTGCATCCAGTAAAAACTCTTCTTGGACGGGTACGGTGGCTCACGCCTGTAATCCCAGCACTTTGGGAGACCGAGGCAGGCGGATCACGAGGTCAAGAGATCGAGACCATCCTGGCCAACAAGGTGAAAAACCCTGTCTCTACTAAAAGTACAAAAATTAGCTGGGCGTGGTGGCACATGCCTGTAGTCCCAGCTACTCAGGAGGCGGAGGCAGGAGAACCACTTGAACCCAGAAGGCAGAGGTTGCGGTGAGCCGAGATCATGCCACTGCACTCCAACTTGGGCCACAGAGCAAGACTCCGTCTCAAAAACAACAACATAAAAACTCTTTTCTTGACTCTACTTCCTCTAGCAACAATCATTCCAACTCTCTGCTCTTCTTTGCGGAAAAATTCCTCAAAAGACACTGTCTATACTTTTCTATTCTCTCTTAAAACCCACTCTGCCCGGGCTTTCACCCCATCACTCTGAGAGTGTACTTGTCAAGATACCCAGTGACCTCCAATTCCAAGGGTCAGTTCTAAGTCTCATCATACACAGTAGCAGACCCCTCAGAAAGCGTAGGACACAGTTGGCCTCTCCCTTCTTCTCCTCCATTTTCTTCACTTTGCTCCTATGACATCATATTCTCCTGGCCTTTTATTTGCTGTCTATTTCTCTTCTGTCCATTTTGTAGATTCTTCCTCTTCTCCCAAACCTCTAGATATGGGAGTGCATGAGGGCTTTGATCTTGGTCCTCTTCTCTATCTGCACTCACTCACAGCTCTATGCACCCATCTAAGCGCTGACAACTCCCAAGTTTAGGTCTCTAGCTCTGACCTCTCCCCAGACTCTAGACTTGTCTACCTGATGGTCTATTTTTCACCTCTTCTTGGAGGTATAACTTACACCTCAAATTCAACACTTCCAGCGCTGCACTCCTGATCTACCCTCACCTCCCACCTGCCTTAGCACAGTCTTTCCCATCTCAGACCGTGGCGGCTCCAGGAACTTTCAGGTGCTCAGGACAGTGCTATCCAGCAGAAGTCAATGCGAACCAAATATGTAATTTTAAACTTTTCAGTAGCCATGTTTAAAAAACTTAAAAGAAACAGGTGAAATTAATTTTAATAATATATTTTATTCGACCCAATATATCCTAAACATTAACATTTTAGTATGTAATCAACATGAAAATGACTATTTTTACTACATAAAAGTTCTGTAATCAACATAAAATATAAACATAATTTATGTTTATATTTATTATATTCATCCAGTATTGCTTTTTCTCATATTAAGTCTTTGAAATCTAGCAGGTGTTTTACATTTATTGTGCATCTCAATGGAGACTAGCCACATTTCATAGGCCCAGTAGTCACGTGTGGCTAATGGCTACCATACTGGTCAGCACCAGCTCAGACGGAAGCCCTCAAGGTCATTCTTGACTGCTCTTTTTTTCTCACACCCCAAGTTAATCTGACAGTTTGCCTTCAAAATAAAGCCACTTGTCATCATCTCCGCTACTATCACTGTACTCTGAGGTCTCTCACCTACATTACTACAAAAACCTCCCCACTGTTCTCTCTGCCTCTCCTTTTGCCCCCTACAGACCACTCCCAACACAGCAACCAGGGGGATCCCTTTATAAAGTCAAAACCCCTCAATGGCTTCCCATTTCACTTAGAGTAAAAGCCAAAGTCCCTACAAGCTCCTGCCTTATCTGGCCTCTTGTTTTCGTTTTGTTGGTTTAAAAAAAACAAAAAACAAAAAACAGGGTCTCACTCTGTTGTCTAGGCTGGAGGGCAGTGGCATGATCTTGATTTACTGCAACCTCCACCTCCCTGGTTCAGGTGATTCTCCTGCTTCAGCCTCTCTAGTAGCCTGGGACGACAAGTATGCGCCACACTCCCAGCTATTTTCCTTCTTTTTTTTTTTTTTTTTTTTTTTGAGAAACAGATCTCACTCCTGTTCCCCCGCAGGCTGGAGTGCAGTGGCATAGACCTTGCTCACGTCATGCTCCATCCCTCCGCGTGTTCCCAACCCATTCTCCCTGCCCTCAGCCTCCTGAGTAGCTGGACTCAGGTGCCACAGCCACCAAGCACCTGCTATTTTTTGTATTTTAGTAAGAGACGAGGTTTACATGTTGGCTATGGCTGCCTCGAACTCCTACTCAGGTGATCCGCCACCTTGGCCTCCCAAAGTGCTGGGATTACAGGCATGAGCCACTGTGTCCGGCCCTTATCTAGCCTCTTTCACCTCTCTGACTTCATCTCCTGCCATTCCTCCCACCATGGCCCACCTGCCCCAGCCAAGATGCCCTGGCCCCTCACTGCTCCTGGATCCCCTTGGGCATACACCCGCCTTGAGGCCTCTGTTCCAGTCACTCGCCCTACCTAGGGCACTCTTCCCCCAGTTATCTTCATGGCTAACTCTTTCACCTCCTGTCCTTCAAGTTTTTGATCAAATGCCATCTTCTTAACGCTCTGCTAACTGTAAATGAAAAATTGCAGTGCCCCCAGCCAACCTCCCAGCCCTCTTACCCTGCTCTATTTTTTCCATGGCACTTGATACCTTTTAAACATTCTATAATATTTAATGTATTATGTTTATTGTTAATGGACTATCTCCCCACAAGGGCAGGGATTTCTGTGTACACTAATCTATCCCAAGCATCTACATCTCGTATATGATAGTTGTTCAATAAATATTTGTTGAATGAAAAAACGAAAAGCACTTCTCCTAGTTGGGCATGGTGGCTCACGCCTGTAATGCCAGCACTTTGGGAGGCCAAGGCGGGAGGATCACCTAAGGTCAGGAGTTCGAGACCAGCCTGGCCAACATGGCGAAACTCCATCTCTACTAAAAATACAAAAATTAGCCGGGCGTGGTGGCATGCACCTGTAATCCCAGCTACTCAGGAGCCTGAGACAGGATAATTGTTTAAACCCAGGAGGCGGAGGTTGCAGTGAGCCGATTGTGCCATTGCACTCCAATCTGGGCAACAGAGCAAGACTCCATCTCAAAAGAAAAAAAAAAGAAAAGAAAGAAAGAAAAGCACTTCTCCCAATTTTCCATTATACGACCATTTGTTTGTCTACTTGTTTTATTCCCAGTCTGTCCCACTGAGTCACAAGTTGCCTGAGGGTGGCACTGGGTCTGTGATACTCATCCTATATCTTGAGTGCCTGGCTGGTAAATACTCAATGCACGTTTGTTGAATAACTGGATTCACGGCCACCACCGACTCACCTGCTCCTCCCTCCCACCACTTCCCTGTTTAGTACTCACCTGTGTTCAGCCCTGTCCTGACAAACACCTCTGCCCTCTCTTCTGTCGGGGGCCCCTGGAGTCCCCACAGGTTGGACACCATAGTACAGACAACCAGGATCCATTATGTGCACTGGCAGGAGGAGAGGGGAACGCACAGGGAAGAGGAGATTGCTGGGAGTGTATGAGGTCCTGAGGGCACTATCCCTCTCCCCCAACCCATGATAATCCAGTTACCTGTGCCTGCTGTGGGCCTGAGGGCAGGGGTGGGGGCAGTGGTTTGGGAGCTGTCTGGGGCCCTGAAGGGAAAGGTCTATTGGTTACTTAGGGGGAGAGGAGGAAGAACAAGCCTTCATGCCCTGCTCCCCGCCTCCGCCTCTGTCCAATTCATGCTCTCCTCCCCACTCCCCCCAGCATCAGTCCCTAGGGAGCCAACCCCACTCACTTTTCCTGAGCTGCCTGTGCCCTGCCTCTTAGGTCCAGGCCGAAGTAGATGGAATTAGGCATCATCTCCACAGTATTTAAGGCTGAAGACTGCTCAGTGGAAGAAGTGGGGAGAGGAGGCGGCCTTGGGCTGGGCTCTGGGCTCCTGGACACTCCTGGTTCCCCGAGGACTGGGCTCAGCCCAGGTCTCTGAGTGGTGGCAGGGCCACTGAGTCCACCAAACACGGTCCTGGGCTTCGGCACGGGTTTAGGGGGCTGGGTTTGGGGAGCTGGGCTGGAGGATGGTTCCATGGCACTATCTGATTTGGGATCCAGGGAGCCCTCTTCGGTGCCTGTCTGCAGCAGGCGCAGAATGCGTTTCCGGTGCCCTGTGGCGCTGATGCCCAACTGCTTCAGCTCCTCGTGGCCCAGGCCCCGGGCTGCACCTGCTGTAGCCAGGCCATGCCGTCGGAACGTGTCTGCATACTGCTCCAGGTGCACCGTGGCCAGCCACACAGCGATGTCCAGGTCCTGAGGGGCAGCCATGGGGGCTCAGGCCATTGCTGGGGGGAGGGGCAGGGTGAAGGGAGGGCTCAGGCTGAGAATCCCCCTCCCTGCCCCAAGGTCTGAGGCCTGGACAGTGAGCACCAGCCTTCAATCTTCCTCCAAAGAAAGATGCTGACAGGCCTGCGATCTGGAAGCAGATCCATCCCAGAACAACAGCAATGGCTCTCTACTTAGGGAAGGGACTTCATTTAGGAAGTTAAGGAAACTGAGGCCCAGAGAGGGGAAGGGGCTTGCCCCAGGTTCACAGCAAGTCAGTGCTAGAGTTGGCCCCTCAGCTCCTGCCCACCCTGGGTCTGGGTCAAAGCTCTGCCCCTGCCTGACTGCACATCCAACTGAATAAGCATGGGACAAGATGCTAGAATGCTGTGGGGCAGAGTGGGATTGGGAGATGCAGAAGAGGGGCCAATGATGTGGCCAGATCAGCTGTAGACTAAGGTGGGGAGAGGGGCAGCCTAGGTAGGAGGAAGGAGGTGCAGACCCCGCTCCCTCTTGTTTCCAGAGCCGAGGTATACAGGCCTGCCATCCTAATCCTGGTTGTTCCCAGTCCCTCCTCCCCTTCCACCTATTGTCTCTGCTCAGACTTCCTTCCTGTCCCTCCAGCCCTGGCCGCCTCCACATCCTGCCTGCCTTGGTCGGGCTGCCCGGAGAGCCCTAACCAGTCCTAATGTGTGGGGTCCCGGCCCTGGGTGGAGGCTAATTGAAGAATAAGGATGGGGGCGGAGAACCAGGCCAGAGAGATGAGGGACCAGAGGTCAGGGGTACTCCAGAGGTACCCACTGGCAGCATGTTCACATGCTGTTCACATGTGTGTGCACATGCCCTGTAGCAGTTCAGCAGTGTGAAATGCCAACCCCTCACCTCTGCTTTCTCCAAGCCTTCCTTTTCTGAGCTTGCCTTTTCCCTGCCCATTCCCTTGGGCTCAGGTCTCTGCTCTGTCCCCCCTCTGCCAGCCTGACCCTGACCCCAGTCTATTTCATAGACCTGTCTCTAATTCTGTGGCCCCTGAGTTTTATCTCTGCCTTGTCCCTGTCCCTGCCCCACTCCATCTCAACCTCTCAATCCTTCTTTGTCCCTCTCCTTGTCCCACCCTGTTTTGCTCTCTGTCATTAAGCTTGTCCCTGACTCAGTCTCCAATTCTAACCAGATCTTGAGTTGTATCTGTGTCTGTCTGCCTCTGAGCCTGGGTTTCTGTCTTCCTCCTCGGCCTAGGCTCTCTCCCTGTTGCTCTTATGCTCTGTCGGTGACCAGGACGCCCTCTCCGTCCCAGCATCAGTGCGGGCCTCCTTCTGCCTCTCTCCAGCTGGGCCTCATTCCCAAGCCAGGGCCCGCGTGCTGACCCTCGGGCCCTGACTCAGGACCTGGTTTCCCGGTGACTCAGGCCGGGCTCGAGAGCACGGGACTGGGAGCCGAGGTACTCGCGGAACAGGAGCGGCGGGGGCGGGGCGGGCAGTGGCAGGCAGCGCAGGCTGCGACGAGGGAGGGGGCGAGGAGGGATGATGGAGCAGAGGCCGGGCAGCAGGAGGGAGGGGCGGGTCGTGGCGGGGAGGGGGAGGGCCGCCGGCGCCGAGGGGACCCTGGGAGCCCACGAAGGCCCTCGAGAAGGTGATGGGGAGGAGTCTGGGAAGCAGGGACCCGGGGGGCGCGGGGGTCCTCACCTCACTACGCGGCCGCCGTCCGCTCGAGGGTGCCCGCCGCGCGTCCGAGGCTCCGGGTCCCGCCGCGCCGGCCCCGCCTCCCCTCTGCCCTCCCTCGACGGGCCCAGCCCCGCCCCGCCCGGCCGGTTCCCTCCGCGGGGCCCCGGCCACTCCTTGTGCAAGCGCAGGCCTCCAAAGGGTTTGGGCTCCTTGCCCAACCGCCGCGCTTATCTCCGAGTCTGCCCCCAGTGTGCCCTCTCGCATGCCGAGAAAGGACCAGAGCACGTTGGGACCAAGACAACCTCAGGGAGAGGGACAAAGAGGCAGAGACCGGGACGGAGATTGGGACGGAGGTAGAAACTGAGAAAGGGAGAGTGCCAGGGAAGGTTTTGCATCCTCTCCGCTGCACCCGTGCCCTCCAGTCCTGCCAAAAGTGAGGAGGAAAGGTCGAACCATAAGCCCTCAGGGCTCCTCTCCTACGCCCAGCAGGGTGCTGGACCCTGGCAGCCAATTTAGTGGGGGGACAGAAGCTGGACATCCAGAATTCATGGGGAGCCACAACCTTCCAAGCTGCCCAGAGACTTGGCCTGGGCAGCAAGCGCAGAGGCCCAGCAGAGGGGTCCCCGTCTGTTTCTCCCCACTTCCATTCCTAAGGGCCTGGCCTAGGTTCCTCCGAGGGATGAAGGTCCGCAAGGCAGCATCCCTACATCCAAACCAAAGTTTGGGGCTGCCTTTTTGGGACAGGCTGACGCCCTGCAAGCGCAGTGACCAAGCAAGCAGCTGTTTCATTCGTGGGAGAAGCCACCCCTTTTCCCCACTCTCCCACCCTAAAATTTCAGGGGGATGCCGAGGACACCTGAGGAGGAATGGCTCCTCTCTCCTTCCCTAGTGTCCTTCCCTAGTCTTGCCGGAACCCCAGTCCTGGAGCCTGTCTCCCAGGGGCGGAGGCAGTTCCCTCTCTGAGCAGGGCCAGTGTTTGGCTCTGTGTGTGTGTGTGTGTGTGTGTGTGTGTGTGTGTGTTGGGGGGGGGGGGCGCTGGCCGGCTGTGTTTTCCTGTTTGTATGAGAGGAAGTTGGCTGTGAGTCAGCAGACACAGGAACTGTCAGTAGCTAGGGGAAGACCCCTGCCTCAGGGGAGTGGGAGGAAGCGGTTCCCACCTCTTCCAGCTGCCCCAGCTAGGGGAGGGACTGTCATCTTCAGCCTCCTGGAGCCCCACTTTCCTGACCTTCCCTTTGAGAAAGAGAATGATAGTAATAATTAATAATTGCAGTGGCTATAATAAGGGCTACCAATTATTGAGAGCTGACCGTGCTCCAGGCTCTATGTAAACATTGCTTTGCAAACTTTAATTAATCCTCACAAATATCCCTATAAATAAGAAATTTTATCACCTCTATTTTACATATAAGGAGAAAGGGAGCATTAAATAACTTGCTCAAGACCCTGCAGTTAGAAAATAGCCAACTCTGCAAGTCTACATCTATAACTACCATGCTGGCCTACCGCCCTGCACAGGACCCCTGCACCACGTCCTTTTATCTGAATGGGCAACTATGGTGGCAGTGAGAATGCTCCTCACAGACCTTACACTGTGAGGAGTGAAATTAACCAGTGACCCCAGCTGCTTCTGTCTGAAATCTAAGGCCAGCTTCCCACTGGGCTGCTCCCAGCCAGTGACAGAGCTCAGCAGAGATCCTAAGGTAGACTCATTCCCGGGAGATAGGGGAGTCCTCTGACAGCTGACTTTGGTTCAAGAATTTCCCAGTGGCTTTGCTGAACTTTCCTTTGACTGGTGTTCTAGGATGCTCCTCTCAACCTTTCTTCCTTCTCTCTCTCCTTCACAGCTCTCCCAACTCCAGGCTCCCTTCCTCTCTCACAGGCATCTCCCCTAGTCAAATCCTTGCATTCTGCCTTGGCAGCTTCTTTTTGAAGGACTCAGACTAACCCAGCAAAATAAGGGAGCAGGAAAAGACAGTAATGGGCACAGGGAGTTTTGAGGAATGGGTGCCGAGGGGTCTGGGTCAGGGGCTAGATGCAAGAGTTCTTAACCTTTTTGTGCCATGTTCCCCTTTGGCAATCTGGTAAAGTATGTGGCCTTATCTCAGAATAATATTTTAAAATGCATAAAATAAAATATATAGGATTATGAAGGAAACCAATTATGTTGTAATACAGGTATAAAACCAATGTGATATAGTAATATATGCGCTTCTTTATTAATGCTTTAAATAAGATCTAGTGGTAGGTTGATACCTCACATAATTTTGACGCAGTGATGAGCATAAATGGTATTTCAAAAGATCTGCAATACTGTAATATGATATAAAAATATATGTGATTTCTACTGGTGACAAAGCCATAGTTATAGCTAAAAGGACTGGTTTGTTGCTATTGTCATAATTGGAGGAAATGTTAAATTTCAGCTAGAGATTAGTGGAAGTAATATTCTTTTCCCATCCAAGTCCACTGACTCCAAGTTAAGGACACCAATGCCAGATGATGGGGCAGAGCCACAGAGAGGGAGACCTGGCTTCCTCCCTCAGACCCCACTTTCCTTCTTTGGCTCAATGATATGGGGCGGGTGGAGGCTTCTGGGCCCTGGCTTGTGTCTTCCTTCTCTACCTCCCTGGCTCTCCTTCTCAGTTTCTATTCTCTTCTCTCTGCCTCTATCTCTATTGCTCTGTCTCTCTTCCTATTTCTGTCTCTCTATTTCTTTTCCTGTGTTCCCCTGAATGTACTTCTATCTTTCTTCGCTCTCTGAATCTCTTTGTGATGTCCGCTGTGTCTGTCTCTCTTTCTGTCTCTGCCTGTGTCTGTCTGTCCCTCTGTCTGTGTCTGTCTTTCTCTGTCTTCACAATCTGTCTCTGAAAGTATAGGACAGACTCAAGGGGATCTCTGTAGCCTGGCCGCAGTGGAGCAAAGAGAATCCATTGCTTCTAGGGTCCCTGGGAGCTAGACAAGGGGGTGATCCTGGGTCTTAGGCTCTGGACTGGGAAGCACAGGTTTCTTCTTCCCCATCCTGTCTGTCTTTCTCTTTTTCTTTTTTTCTTTTTTTTTTTTTCCCCAGAGATGAAGCCTTGCTCTGTCACCCTTTTTTTTTTTCTTTTTTTCTTTTTTTTTTTTTCCCCAGAGATGAAGCCTTGCTCTGTCACCCAGGCTGGAGTGCAGTGGTATAGTCTCGGCTCACTGCAACCTCTGCCTCCTGGGTTCAAGCAATTCTCCCACCTCAGCCTCCAGAGTAGCTGGGACTATAGGCACCCGCCACCACACCCAGCTAATTTTTGCATTTTTTAGTAGAGATGGGGTTTCACCATGTTGGCTAGGCTGGTTTCGAACTCCTGACCTCAAGTGATCCTCCTGCCTCGGCTTCCCAGAGTGCTGGGATTATAGGTGTGAGCCACCCCGCCCTGCCTCCTCTCTTTCATTCTTAGCCTTTGCAAGGGCAGAAACAGGATGCAGGGGATAGAGACATCCCAGGCCCCAGAAGACAATGGCTAAGGCATCTGTGACCCTGAATGTGGATACAGTGAGATCTTTGCCCAGACTCCTCTCTGTGGAGCTGTAACCCAGGGGCCAGGTGTCACGGCTTTCCTCTGCTCTCCTCCATACCCTGGGGGAGCACTAACCCAGTGTCATGTGAGGGCACAGGGATTCATGAACTTGGCGGAGTAAGTCTGTAGCAGATGTGAGGCCTGGCCCCTAGGAGATGTGCAAAATGAAGGTCTGTGAGCTCAAGGAAGGAAAGTATGGATTTCTGGGGCTTAATCTTTGAATACTCAAAAATGGGGTAGAGCACCAGGTCAGCCATTCACTTGGAGGGATATACACCTTCAAGATGATTTGGGTCAGGGAGGGCTGTTGGCCTGAGAAATCGGGAAAGGAGAGTAGTCACGAGTGTCCTGAAAGAGCTGAGCATCCTAAGATAAGAGGCAGATGGGAAATGGTAGTGTGAGAGATGAACTAGGTCATAGGAATGGGATTGAAACTGAGTAGCAGGGGTGGCTAGTGCCCCTTGGAGGGCTTCCTCCCTAGGAGGCTATCTTGGGTCCCTGCTCCCTAATCAGACCTCTCTCACCCTCGCTGTCCAAAGAGTCTGCTTACAGCAAGATTAGCAGTACCAGGCTCGGCAAGGGAACTCACTTTACTCCAGAGCTAGCCATGCCTGGCAATCTAGGCTGAGCTGCTTTTACCTTTTGGGGTACCTTCTGTGGCTCCCTCAGAGCTTCATGAACAAAGGGTACTAGGAAGGGACTCTCTCCAATCCTGAGTCCTGAGACACCACTGACCCCGTTCACCCTGTCTGGAGAGACTGCGTTATTGACCATTATCAACTGATTTACCTGCCCTGATGTAACCCAAATATAAGCCACAGGGCTCACGTGACCCATGGAAACCAACAAGAGCAAACAGGTTCTCCAATACTTCATCTCTCAGAAGACCTGAAAACCGATGGCAACACTTCTGTGTTGCTCACAAATCTTTTGGCTGTTTTTTGTTTGTCTGTTTGTTTGTTTGACAATGTCTCACTCTGTCACCCAGGTTGGAGTGCAGTAAGGCTCAAGTGATCCTCCCACCTCAGCCTCCCGAGTAGCTGGGTATAGAGTTGCATGCCACTGGGCTCGGCTAATTTTTGTATTTTTTTGTAGAGACAGGGTTTTGTCATGTTGCCCAGACTGATCTTGAACTCATGAGCTCAAGCCATCCACCTGCCTCCTGCCTTAGCCTCCCAAAGTACTGGGATTACGGGTGTGTGCCACCATGCCCAGCCCACAAATCTTGATTATCTGGGCCTTCTCACTCCTCAATACCTTATCTCTCTTAAGTTCT